AGCCCCAAAAAGATATGAGCTTAACGATGATCCTTGGTGTAATCTTACACCGTTGGGAAATTCCCTTGTTACCCCACATAGACTTTCCATGCTTGTAGCACCATCGGGGATGTTCTTAATTGTACAAATATATGCAATCTTTACTCCTTTTTCTCTAAAACCTTCCACAGAATTTCTCTTGGTACACGTCATATGCATTTCCCAAATCAATAAAAGCCATGTGTAAATCTTTCTTCTCATTTCTGTACCTCCATTGTTCTCCTCACCAAGTATATAGCCTTTGTAGTTGATCTTCATGACATAAAACCAAATTGGTTCTATGACATTGAAGTCTCTTGTCTCAATATTCGTTCCACCACTATTTCTCACAACTTCATCGTATGACTCATGAACTTGATCCCTTTGTAGTTTCCACAACTCTAAATATCCTTCTTATTCTTGTAAATAGGGACCAAAATACTCTTCCTTCATTCATTAGACATGTTCTTAGATCTTAGAATCTTGTTAAAATCTTAGTTACCACCAAATACCATTTATCCTAAAGCTTTTCAAACTTCAATCAGGATGCCCACTGCTCTGTTACTCTTCATCCATTTTAGGACCTCCTTTACTTGAATATCTTGAATTTTCTGATAATAATTTAAGTTTTTGGCCTCTTCCCTTGTGTGTAACCGATTGGAGCATCAAGGATTCACATGCCCCTCATTAAATAGATCATTGAAGTAGCTCTTCCACTGCTCGCTTCTGCTTTCATCTGAGACCAAAACTTCACCATTCTCATCTGTAATGCACTTGGTCTAAATCATGCATCCTTCTTTCTTGAGCCTTTGCAGTCTTGTAGATACATCTTTCCTCTTCTTTCATATCCAACGACTGGTAAAACCCTTCATATGCTCTCATTTTTTCCTCACTTACACCCACTTTTGTCTCTCCCTGTCTTAGTTGTCTTATACCTTTCCCAACTTCCCACATTCCGGCATAAAGATTCCCGCTTTACCTTTACCTTCTCTTGCAAGTTGCACCCTAGTGTCTCACCTTTACAGAGGAAGGGGTCAATCTCTGCACAAGGTGAATGGCCTCCGTGGTCAACTGGTCTAGCATGAAACCAAACTGATTTTTGGAAATGCACACCCCCTTCTACAACCTAGGCTCAATGATGCGCTCCCAAACCTTCATGGTGTGGCTTAGAAGTTTTGAAAAATGCTACTCCTTTTCTAATTTAAGTTGCTTGTTTACTATTCACATGGTCAAACTTTAATGACTTTCTTTACCTGTTATTGTTACTCATTTGATAAAATAATATAGTCATGTCACTTGTTTTCTAGAACTTTTGAGTAGTAGTCTAGTAGGAGAGTTATAGAGTAACGTTAGGGCTAGTAGTTGTGCTTATGTTATTGTCTCATTGAGCAATGAGCATATATATTGTGTTCGTTGGTGTTTGCGTGTAATCGAGTTAATGTGTAATATATACCCAAACAAAGTTACTGTTTTTTGTTTATACTTATCTGCTGATTTCTTAATGTATCTATTGCTTACAGCAATCAATGCAGCAGCTGCTGCTTTAGGACATGCATTTGTAGGTTCTCCTGCATCTCATCTCAATCCAACAGCCTCACTTTTTCAATTTGACCCTAGAGTGGCGCAAACAATGGTGAGACCCATATCATTTGTCTGTCTGCTTCACTATTGATTTCTCAACAGATTTTGTATACTGGTGTGAGAATAAAGTTTAGGAATCTGCACTTTCATTGGATGATGGCCTAGTGTTACACGTAAATCTTTGTTACCCTAGACTCCTAGAGCGATTTGTAATTTTCATAAGGAGTACAGATTAATTTGAACATTGCCTTATCCTTAGTATACTATTAATTCTTGTTTGATAGTGTTCCACAAACAGCATGGAACTGGGCATGAATTTACAACTTTCTTTGTCAGAGGTTTTACTGATTAATTTATCCTTTGACTGGGCACTAAATAATTAACTATCAGCGAGATTTTAATTATGCACATAGGATCTGTTTGGAAAGATGGAAAATAACTTTTGCTTTCTTCAAAATAAAAATCAAATTCTAGTGTTTGGTTGAAATATTGGAAAATGTCAAAACTACTAGTAGTTTTGTTGTTATAACATAATAAAACATGTTGAATTTTGATCTAAGAGGTAAGAGAAGGGTGGAAACCATCTTCTGCTGGGAAAAAGCGGAAATCATTTTCTGCTGTAATAATAACCATAATGGTTACATTGTCCTTGTGAATTTCAAGCTTGGGTGATATCTTGTACAGTAGTAAACTTGGATTCTTACTGAGAACATGGTGTATTTTTGTACTGCAGCTTGGATTGACCACAGGTATCTACCCACAACGGCCTGGGCAGTTGGAATGTGATGTATGTATCCACTAAATTTTATTATCCAATTTTAGATCGTATGTACTTGAAAACTAAATTCAGTCTGTAGACACTGTCGTTTATTTGAAACCCAATGCATGAATAACAAGCCCTGTATTTTCAGTTATACCGATCAAAATAATATCTGTTGTGCCTTTAAAAAAACATTATGAAAGTGGTTTTCATTTTGTCTATATTCACATTTACTTGTTTAGAAACATATTTCATCACCTCTGGATGTACTTACTATTAACATGGCACCCTGCAGTTCTACATGAAAACTGGGGTGTGCAAGTTTGGGGAGAGATGCAGGTATCACCACCCTATTGACCGTTCATCACCCGGTGCATCCACCACAACGGAAGCCCATCAGCAAAGTGTTAAGCTAAGTCTTGCCGGGCTACCCAGACGCGAGGTGTGCAAAATATTTCACTCACTCACTCACTCATTCACAAAAATATGGCATATATATTAATGTGTTACGTTGTTGGTGTGTCTAACCCAAGTTTTCTTTTTGTTCATATGTAATGTGTTGTTGGCTGCAGGGTGCTATACACTGCCCATATTATATGAAAACTGGAACGTGTAAGTATGGCACAACATGTAAGTTTGATCACCCACCGCCGGGGGAGGTCATGACTGGCACTTCACTTGGTGAAGAAGAATGAAAATGGCTGTGCAAACCTTTTGCTCTGATCAGCAAAAAGCAAAGGATTTGAACGGCTGGCTACCTCTTCAGCAACCAAACCAATCCTTGACCACCAGAGGGAACTAATTGTTTAAGATATTTGTTTGGAGAGTTTGAGAATCTTTTTTTTTTATTTTACTTATTTGATCACTGGAGTTGGCTTTCCTGTGTTGTATTATTCCTAGTAAGAACGAGCATAAGTGTATTTGGTTGGTTGGTTCTCCTCCATAGTGTGTTTGATGTCGGATCAATGTACTTTTGTTAATATTATTTTCATTCTTCTAGTTGCAGGATACATACTCTCCGTCCTTATTCAAATCGCATGTTCCAGTTTAAGATGTTGGAATGAAATTATTTTCTTATCATTTTATATGAAAAATGGTGTAGGCTTTAAAAATTAAAAATACATATTTAAAAATTACATTAAAAGATCTACAAAACTAATGGTAACATGATTATATTATTTTATTAAATGACTAATGATAATATGAAAATAAAATGAAAAAAATTGACATGTAAATCACATGTTTTGGTTTACAATGTTTGACTAAAATTATTTTCATATCAAATGACTAATGTCATAATATAGGGCATTACACTACTAATTGCAAGTGTCAAAATGACCTAGTCAAGTGTTTATGTTAATACAGTGTACTTATTGGAAGTGGGTAGAGTATGTAAAATGTGATCAAAGATCGATTCGGATTGATTGCAAAAAATTAAAACTAAACAAATAACTTGTACTCCGTAACAACAAAATTATGGAGTGTCATCCTACACAAATGAATTCTTTTTAATTTGAATTTAGGTGATTCTTTCATCTGATTTAGGTAATTCTTTTTATTTATTTTGAATATGGGTTAGTATCATACTCCGTATAAAATAAGAAATAAATAATTGTACTATTGATATTGATATTAAAAATGTAAGAAATAATAGTACTCCCTTTATCTCATTTTATATTGTCTGTTTTGTATTTGAGAAATATTTAAGAAAGGAAAAAATGGTCTTTACTTTCCAAAAATGCCATTACTTTTTTAGAAGGGTAATGATGAATGAAAAGATAAGGTTGAGAGGAGTGTCTTATTTGAGGTGTACTTTAATTATTTTACCTTAACAGTTTACTATAATACTCCCTCTATTACATTTTAAATTGTCTGTTTGCTTTTTTTCTCCGTCCCAAAATAAGTTGCCTGTTACTTGTTATCGTAAACTTTTAAGAGTAAAATAACTAAACTACTCCTAAAAAAAGTCACTCTTCTTCACCTTATCTTCTAATTCATCGTCGCCCCTCTTACAAAAATAGCAACTTCGAAAAATCAACTGTATTTTTTATCTTCCTTAAATATGCCAAAAGTCAAAACAAGCAATTTAAAACGGAACGGAGGGAGTAAGAAACATGCTACTTATTTTGAGACGGACAAAAAAGTAAAATAGACAATTTAAAATGGGACACAGGGAATAACAAGTATGACCCACAAAAAATTGACTTGAAATAAAATTGAAACAAAGGAGTAATTTTTTTTAAATAAAAGCATAAAATTTCAAAAACATAATATTCATTCGAGCAACTTATATTTTTCAATATTTTCCAACTCCTTGCACATTTTTTCATTTCAATCTAGTATTTCTAATTTTTACAAACATCCAATTCTATTTATCCAACTGGAAAGAATTTGAGTCCCAAAAAAATGTCATAAAAGAGCATTATTATGGCCATGAGCTCTCTTCATTTGATATCCTCAGTAACATCTTACTCCGAAGTACATAACATTAACATTTTCAGTACTCCAAAAATTTTACATCATTGGGCATTACCTTATACAAATGAAACTTGTGAACAAAAAAACCACTTAAACTTGCCCCAAAACACAACACTGTATTATGAATAATGTGATACAAAGCAGTTCACTATACCAAGGTTGACACCAGCATTTCATAGTGTCTGATATAACTTATAAGGTTTCAACATGAGAACCAAGTATTATAGGCATGGCATTGCAATGGAGTTGCAGCAGCAGTACGAGGAAGACGAAACATGTATGTCTGACTAGGAGACGGGTCAAAATGGTTGTCGCCCCCAAACCCATACTTGTTGCTGTAACCTGCATAATCTGCCACATCAAAATCAACAGCTGCTGCAAGCTCAAGCCCCTCCTGTAATCCTATTAAACCTATGCCCCATTCCCTGTGGAATCCGTTCGTCTTGTGAGTTATGTGGATCTCCCCATTCTCTCTCAACATCCGCTTCGCGTTTGACAGAAACAGCCGAACAAGAGCTTGATGACAACTGATGAACCCACAAAAAAAACGCGCGAAATGGTTCAAAAAATCAGTATTTTTGGACCGGGTTTTGGGTCAAAAGGAAGCATATTATTCGCACGGCTGACCTTAGTTGAGACGGTCGCGGAACTGCTTTGAAAAACCCAGCATATGGGAAGTTAAAGATGATGCGGTCGAACGTGGAGCCCGCCAGGGAGGGGTCGTAGATCATGTAGGTTGCATCAATGCCATGCATCACCTTACATCCCCTTCTTTTCAGCTCTCTGAGGTGCAGAAAAGCCTTGCAGTAGTTTGTAGTCAAGAATTCTGAAACAGAAAAGACAATTGACATTAAGTTTTCTAATCGGTTTTTGGTTGGAATCTTGAAATTCTAGACTTACTTACCTTCAGAGTCAAGAGAAGTGGCAGTCATGTTAGCAGCAGATCCAAAGGCGGCGGCTAAGCAGGCAGAGAATGAGAAGTCTCCTTCACCAACCAAAAGAATCTTGTGTCCACTGCTGTAGTGCTTTATCCATTTCTCTTGCTTCTTACTTTGGTTATCACCTAAATAAATGCTAGAAGGATAAAAACCATTCTGGTTTTGTGATGCAGCACATAAAGAATCTCCATAAGGAGACATCATGGGGTAAAACATCTCATTTTGGAACAGATTGTAGCCAATCTCTGTCTGGTTTGGGACAGGGATAGGAAAAACTGGTTCTTGATGAACATTGAAGCCAGAGAAAAATTCCTCAGACTGCCCAGCAAGATTTGTTTGGTTGGGAAGCTGAATCATGGAGACATCTTCAAGAGAAATATTTGATGGTTCTGTTGGCGAATAAGAAGGGGAAACGGTCTTTAAGATTTGTCGGGGGAGTCTGAACTTGTATGTTTTACTATGAACACACTTAAGATCATCATCACTTCCAATTTCCCATGTCGCATTGTAACCCGGATAGTCATTAATAGTAAATTTTTTAGCTTCAACAAATTCAAGCCCTTGTTTAGAAGCAAGAAGCTTTATTCTCCATGACCCAAAGCCTCCGTCTGTCCTGTGAGTGACATGGATCTCACCATTGTTGTCAATCATCTGCTTGGAATTTTCCAGGAATTTTTTAACAAGGGACTGGTGTTTGCTGCAACACACAAACAAACAGTTCAACCGGCTGTGAGTGATTCTAAACACGAAAAAACAAAATGAAGTTTCCAATGTTTATGAACGGACCGAATTGGAGGGTATGTGCATTGCTTGGGAACGACAGCAAGTGGAAAGTTGAAAACTATTCGATCAAACACGGAGCCCTTCAAGCTTGGATGGGATGCCATTGTAGTAACATCAACAGAATGCAACACCTTGCAACCCTTTGCTTTCAAGGACTTGATGTTTTGAATAGATTTGGGATATACTTTCCTCAAAGTTGCTGGAAAAAAAAAAGAAAAACCCAAGCAATGAATAACACAACACAAGAAACATTACCATACTATAAAGAAAGGATATATCAAGAAAAAATATAACACGGCTTACTCTTAGAGTCAAGGGAAGTGGCAACCATGTTAACAGCAGAGCCAAAAGCGGCAGCCAAACTGGTTGAGAAGGAGAAATCTCCTTCGCCTACTAGCAGCATCTTGTGGGAACTACTGTAGTGTTTTAACCATTTCTCTTCTCCTACAATGCCATTGATGTTATCCTCACACATATTGCTTTGCCTCAGATCATAAGAACTTCTTGAAAGGGAAATGGATATCAACTCTTCATCTGTATTTGGCCACTTCCGAGTGAAGCCATAGTCAAATTCCTCAGACTGCTCCGAAAGATTTGTGTTGTCGGTAAGCTGGACCATGGAGACATCCTCAAGAGAGATGTTTGATGGTTCGGTTGGCGAATAAGAAGGGGAAACGGTCTTCAAGAGTCGTCGAAGAAGTCTGAACTTGTAAGTTGTGCTTTTGAACTCGTGAAACTTGACAGTGTAACCTGGGTAATCCGCTGCACTGAAGTGAACACTTTCAACAAATTCCAGCCCCTGCTGGGATGCAATGAACTTTATCCTCCACGCCCCATACTCTCCATCTGTCCTGTGGGTGATATGGATTTCGCCATTTTGGCCAATCATCTTCTTGGCATTTTCCAGAAAAGCCCTCACCAGACTCTGGTGCGCACTGCACAAACAAACAAACCGTTCAAACGCTTACAAACGCTTACATTCATTCATTCATATCTAGCCAATGTAGGATAACACCATGGCTATGGTTCACATCATATGATTACATCACATAACCAACTAGTTTCACCATTTATCATTGAAATAAAGGACAAATTAGTGACTAACCAAAGCCGGGATTCGCGGGAATCATGCTCTGAAACACAAGCATATGGAAAATTGAAAACTATACGATCAAAAGTGGAGCCCTTCAAATGCGGATGAGATGACATGTTTGTAGCGTCAACATCATGCATCACCTTGCATCCACTTCTTTTCAACTCTTCAATGTGATAAACAGCTTTCTCATACTGTTTCTCTAACACCGCTGAAAAAAACAAATAACGAATATAAAAAGAGTCATGCTACATTCATACCATGAATGACACCAAAGTTGCTAGATTTTGTACATAATTGTCTCAGGTAGACACTATTCCATATAAAAATGCAAGCCAACATGTAAAGCTTTATAAACTACTAACATTCTTTTGTCACTCTATGACTCAAAACTCAAATGAAATCAAAGCCTTAAACTCAAATGATAATTGACTTACTTCTAGAGTCAAGAGAAGTTGCTGTCATGTTAGAAGAAGAGCCAAAAGCTGCAGCTAAACTGACAGAGAAGGAAAAGTCTCCTTCACCAACAAGCAGGATCTTTTGGGAAATACTATAGTGTTTCACCATTTTCTCTTCTTCCACAAGAGCATTAACGTTATCCTCCCACATATGCTTTTGATTCAGATGATACTCAGTGTGATACTTGCTTAGAGGAGAAATGAATGCAGCTTCCCACCATGATGGAGATATCAATTCGTCATCTGTATTTGACGAATTCTGAGTGAAGCCATAGTCAAATTCCTCAGACTGCTCAGCAAGAATTGTGTTGCTGGTAAGCTGAATCATGGAGACATCCTCAAGAGAGATGTATGATGGTTCTGTTGGCGAATAAGAAGGGGTCTTTATGAGTCGCTGAGGAAGTCTGAACTTGTAAGTTTTACTATGAACACACTTAAGATCATCATCACTTTCAATTTCCCATGTGGCATTGTAGCCCGGATAGTCACTGATATTAAAATCGGTAGCTTTCATGAATTCAAGCCCTTGTTTAGACGCAAGAAATTTTATTCTCCAGGCCCCAAAACCTCCGTCTGTCCTATGAGTCACATGGATCTCACCGTTGTAGTCAATCATCTGCTTGGAATTTTTGAAGAATTTTTTAACAAGGTCTTGGTGTTTACTGCACATACAAACAAACAAATCAACTTGCTGCCAGTGATTCTAAACATGAAAAAATGTTGAGTTCAACTCCCCCATTGGCTTTGTAAGCTTATATTCTGCTATTTATAATAGCTTATATACCCCAATGGGCCAACCCTTTGAGTTAACATTTGGGGTTGAATTGGGTCCAACTTTACTATTTCACAGAAAACAACTTGGAGTTTCAAATGAGTATGAACGGACCGAATTTGAGGATAGCTGCAGTGCTTGGGAACAACAGCAAGTGGAAAGTTGAAAATTATACGGTCAAACACGGAGCCCTTCAAGCATGGATGAGATGCCATTGTAGTGGCATCAACAGAATGCAAAACCTTGCATCCCTTTGCATTCAACGCCTTAATGTTGTTCAATGCTTTGGTGTATACTTTCCTCGAAGTTGCTGAAAAAAGAAAAGCGCAAGTAATGAATAACACAACACAAGAAACATTGCCATGCTATACAGAAAGGATGTAACAAGAAAAAATATAACACGGCTTACTTTTCGAGTCAAGGGAAGTGGCAACCATGTTGACAGCAGAGCCAAAAGCAGCAGCCAAACTGGCCGAGAAGGAGAAATCTCCTTCGCCTACTAGCAGCATCTTGTGGGAACTACTGTAGTGTTTTAACCATTTCTCCTCTTCTACAACACCCATATTTGTCTCTTGCTCCACACCAATCTGTTTCAGATTATGGTTAGCAACTGACTCTAACATTTCTGTAGAAACATTCGAGTTCTTGTTAATGAACTCATAGATGTCATTGGGCTGCTCGGCATGGTATGTGTTAATGAGTGGAAATATTGGGACATCCTGAACAGGCTTCAACGGTGAATGAGGAAGTTTGAACTTGTAAGTCTTACTGGGGAAACTGTTCAAGTTATCATCACTTCCATTTCCCCATTTGGGATTGTAACCTGGATAGTCACAAATGTTGAAATCAACAGCTTGCACAAGTTGAAAACCTTGTTCAGATGCAAGGAACTTTATTCTCCATGCACCAAAGATCCCATCTTTCCTGTGAGTGATGTGGATTTCACCATTTTCACTAATCAACTTCTTGGCATTCTCCAAAAACTCCCTTACCAAGGAATGTTGTTTCCTGCAAACACAGATAATCTCTTAGCTTCTATCCTAAAACTTCGAGCTTTATATACTTATATTTAAGACAAATGAGATTTCAAATACTCGAGAACTGTTTGAAGGTGAAGATTGGCCCATTCTTCCTCGGAAACCACAGCGAATGGAAAGTTGAAAACTATTCGATCGAACACCGAGTTCTTCAAAGAGGGAAAAGATGCCATGGCAGTGGCATCAACAGCATGCCATACATTGCACCCCTTTGATTTCAACACTAGGATGTTATCAGCAGCTTTCGCATAAACTTTCGTCAACTCCCCTTTAAAAGGAAAACAATATATAACATCAATGATGAAAACACAACTGACATAATTCATTCAGTGCTCAATGAAAAATCTAGACACCTATCTTACTTTTATATTCAAGGGAAGTGGCAGTTAAGTTAGATGCAGAACCAAAGGCGGCAGCTAAACTGCAAGCGAATGAGAAGTCTCCTTCGCCCACTAACAGAATCTTTTGTGAGCTACTGTAGTGTTTTATCCATTTGATTTCTTCTGCTATGATATCGTCAACCACATCATTCCTCATTTCATCACGCATGAAATTAGGAATTAGGGATGGAGAAGGTAAGTTCAGAGGTTTATTATGAATCTCCTCACACTTTTCAGCAAGATTAGAGGAACAAGACGCATCAATCACATGGTCCCTTGATTGCTCTGTGGGTGATAAAGACAGAACCTTCAAGGGTGGACGAGGAAGTCGAAACTTGTAAGTCTTACTAGGGAAACTCTCCAAGCTGTCGTCGCTTCCATTTCCCCATTTGGGATTGTAACCCGGATAATCACAAACATCAAAATCAACAACTTCAACAAGTTGAAAACCTTGCTCAGATGCAAAGAACTTTATCCTCCATGCACCATAGACTCCGTCTGTTCTGTGAGTGATGTGGATTTCACCATTTTCATTAATCAACTTCTTGGCATTCTCCAAAAAGTCCCTTACCAGGGAATGTTGTTTCCTACATACACAAACAAATCAATCCAACATTAAACTTAACCCGAGGTTTTATATGTTTGTTTGAATCTTTATAAAAATTACTACTCCAGCAATAAATAATAAATGAAATTTCAAATACTTAAGAACTGTCGGAAAGTGTAGATTGCCCCATTCTTCCTTGGAAACCACAGCGAATGGGAAGTTGAAAACTATCCGATCAAACACCGAGTTCTTCAAACACGGATGAGATGCCATGACAGTGGCATCGACAGCATGCCATACATTGCAGCCCTTTGATTGCAAAAACTCAATGTTATCCGCAGCTTTCACATAAACTTGCTTCAATTCCCCTTTAAAAGAAAAACGATATCAATGAAGAAAACACAACTGAAATAATTCCTTCAGTGTTCAAAGAAAAGAAGAATCAAGACATCTTACTCTTATATTCAAGGGAAGTGGCAGTCAAGTTTGAGGCATAAGAACCAAAGGCTGAAGCTAAACTACAAGCGAATGAGAAGTCTCCTTCGCCCACTAACAGAATCTTTTGTGAGCTACTGTAGTGTTTTATCCATCTGGTCTCTTCTGCTACAATATTGTCAACCGCATCATGCGACATATCATCATGCTTGAAATTAGGAATTACCAACGGAGAAGGTAACTTCTTGCTCTTATAATGAAACTCCTCACACTTCTCAGCATGATTAGAGATAGTGCTTAGAGATGCCAAGACATCCAAAAGAGTGTCCCATGAAGGCTCTGTGGGGGGAAAAGACACAACCTTCAATGGTGGACAAGGAAGGCGAAACGTGTAAGTCTTACTAGGGGAACTCTCCATGTCATAGTCACTCCCATTTCCCCATTTGGGATTGTAACCCGGATAATCGCAAACGTCGAAATCAACAGCTTCCACAAGTTGAAAACCTTGTTCGCATGCAAGGAACTTTATCCTCCATGCACCATAGACTCCGTCTGTTCTGTGAGTGATGTGGACTTCACCATTTTTGCTGATCAACTCCTTAGCATTTTCAAGAAAAGCCCTCACAAGGGAATGTTGTTTCCTACAAAGACAGATATTCCATAAGGTTGTTCAATTCAATCCTAAAAGTTCAAACTTTATGCACTTTTATTTAACACAAATGAAGTTTCACACACTCAAGAACTGCTGGGTTGTGAAGATTTCCCCATTCTTCCTCGGAAATGACAGCGAATGGAAAGTTGAAAACTATTCGATCGAACACAGAGTTCTTGAAAGAGGGATGAGATGCCATGACAGTGGCATCAACAGCATGAAACACATTGCACCCCTTCGATTTCAACTCTTGGATGTTATCTACAGCTTTACTATACACTTTCTCCAATTCCCCTATAAAATCAAAACAACCCCATCAACAACTATAGTTACTATTTTAATAAAAAAGAAAACTTTTTTGACAAAACTCAAAGAAAAAGAATCAAGAAACTAAAAGGGGTGATCACTCTTATATTCAAGGGAAGTTGCAGTTAAGTTGGAGGCAGAGGAGCCAAAGGCGGCAGCCAAACTGGCGGCAAAGGAGAAGTCGGCTTCACCCACTAACAGAGTCTTCTGTGAAGCCGCATGATCAGAGAAATCACGAGGAAAAACCATGTCTTTTTCCCCCAGAAACAAATTTCTTCTTTTTTTGTAAGGGATAACCTCGGAGTCCTCGAAAAGCACTGAACCAGGCGGGGTTACAACTTATAGTTACACAATTAGCGGAGAAGGTGAAAGAAAAGCGCAATGGAGGGGAAACCCCATTGACTTGAAATATGAATCGTTTCTTAACAGGGAAGGTATTCTGAAAGAAGAAGAAAAAAAGTAAAGTGTGATCACAGTGGGGGGAAGATGAACTGAAAAGCAGCGAGTGTACTAATAATAATACAAATACATACATACATATATATATATATATATATATATATATATATATATATATATATATACTGTCGGAGTATAATTACGGCGGCTTTATGCGGACATTTGAGTATTTGACCTCTTCAAATTCTTGAATCAATCGGGCCGTGTGACTCGTGAATTGATTTTATTTAGGCGGTAAAGTTATTTTGAGTAATACGAGGTAATAAACAGCTTCATTTTGAAAAAAAAATGGAATTTAAAAAATGTACTCATATACTCCGTGGTTTTGATGTTACTTTTTTATTTTATCTTTACTTTATGTAGGGTAGATCAAATATGTTAGATAAATTAATAATGAATATATATGATAATATGATGTGATATATAAATTAATATTTAGTAGGAGTAAAAGATTAATGTAAGTGAAAATATTTTTTGGAACAGATAAGATGTGAAGTTGGAAAATTTTTTGGGACGGAGAAAATGATAAACGATAAAAAAACTCTATGAAACAAGATCGGACATGATCTTGAAGTGTTGTAGCCCGTAGGCCGCAGGAGTCTCAATTTGGGTGATTGTCAATTTCATTGTAACAATAACTCAACTCTTTTTTGTTTGCATTATACTTTTCTCTCTTTGAAACAATTTTACACTTTGCCTTTTAGATGTTTAAAAACTAATTTTATATTTCTCCCAATGCACCTCTTTTTAGCATTTCCTAGGTTTTACTTTTAGCCCCTTTTAATTCCTTGTAAGCATCATATATCTCTTTAAAATATGCATTATTTCTCCAATTGGACATTATTAAATCTTATTTAGAGAATAAAAAAGTTTAAGTCCTTGAGAAATGACTTATATTTTAGTCTTATTTAGTGCAAATTGTTCTTATATAATTTTCACCACATTCATTAGAGAGGAGTGCTAAGTTCGATGTCTTAAAATTAATTTTTGGAAATTAAACTAAAACTATATTATAATTTACACCTTTACTACTTTGTTGGGCCATGATAAGGGGTGCTTGGGTGGACATTCCAACCAAACACATGTCACTATTAAAAAGACAAACCTATGAGGAATAAATTTTATCTTTTTTAATCGTAAAATGGTGACAACAAGTGAGTTTGTGGCTAAATGTTGTTATGTTCTATATTAAGTACTCCCTCCGTCCCTGAGTGTTTGTCCACTTTCATTTTTGCACACCATCCAATGCACTTCTTTAATCCATTTTATCTTGTAATTTTTATATTAAAAAATTATAAAAATTATATATTAATAATCTATATGTTAAGACGAATCAAACAAGATCACACATGACTATTTTTAGGCTTACACATTGAGAGAATTTGATAAGTCAAAGTGCTTAGATGAATAGTTCCAAAAGTCAAAAGTGGACAAACACTCAGGGACGGACCAAGTATTTAATTTTAAAATAAGGAATAGATGATAGAATTTCAACACGTGTATGTCACAAAATAATCAACTTCACAAAGTATGCGGTGATTTTATAATCACAATTTGTGACATTTGAGATTATGTGTGAAATGTAGAGTCTGTCATGTTATGGTGATAGGATTTTGTATATAAAGAATAGGAGGTTTAGCAAAAGAGTTAGCACAATAACACAAGTATTTATTCATAGCATCATGGGAAATCATTTATTTTACATAGTAGCTCGATAAAACACAAGCATTAATTCATAACATCATGGATAACCATTTATTGTACATAGTAGCCAGATAACTCCAAGTAGGGTACAATCAAAGGCCCAAACACACTTCAAAAGGTGATGAAGGGTGTTGGAATGGCCATTTATTCATTTATTCTTGAAACACTTGGCGGACCTCGACGCAACCTCGTCACGTTTTATCCAATTAGAAACTCTAGAGATTCGTGCTTGGGATAGAATTTGCAAGGGTACCCTATACTCTTTGTAAGGTCACGAAACACCCTTTTCTCGGGCTCACTTGCTTGAATGCCAACCAATACATTCCCCTCTACCGATCCCTGCAGCAATACACCATACATTAATATGCATATAGTATACATAGAAGATTAAATTATTATCTTTATCATAATAACAACCTTTGACTTGAAATGAGCCAAAGTTACGTTCCAACGCGAATCTAAAGCGTTCAAAAGCTTCAAGAAAGCGCCCGGCCCATCAGGGAGCTTAACCCAACAAAGAAGCTCGTTCTCTACTTTTGACTGCCCGCCCCCCACCTGACATTTAAAAATAACATACACGTTTATATAATTTAATCGTGTAAATAGTAATTGAGAAGATAATTATTCGATAATCTAATGTAATCATTTACCAAATATTTCAAATGCCTTAAAAACAAGTTTTGATCTGAAACATTGACAGTCTCCAGTTGAGCTGCTCTCAATCTTTCCAACATTGCATCAAGTTCTGCCTGTGCATGATATGTCACGCTGCATCAAACAAGATCTGGGTAAATATACATTAATTACTGCATTAATTTTTACCTTTCCACACCCAGTTAAAAAAAGTCAATGCCGAAAGAAAAAAAACATCAACAAAATGTAAAATTCTTGCCTGTACTGTATTAGTGCTTTTTCTTTGCTGGAATCATATCTGTATTTCAATTCACTAATATTCAAAGGCCTCACCTGCAACCACATATAGAGTAAAAAAAATCAATTGGCTTTTACACTATGTAAGATGAATCTTGGAATGAGTCACACATATTAGTTACTTTGTGCTTTGAAACAAATGATATAAAGTTTTTTTTAGAACATCTCTTAACAGATACCTGACAAACTGGGAACCAGACACCAAACCAGTCCGGTCCAACATCTAAAATTTTTTATCTTTCGGAACATTAGGGAAAAACCAGGTTAAGGTAGTGTTTCGTTCAGTTTATTTTTCTACTTATTACTTATTCATATTATAATCAGATCATACCATATTAGATCAGACCAGATCTTCAAAAAATTAGATCAGGCGAACGGAACGCAGCCTAAATCCGGTTGGTTTGCCGGATTTTCCACGAGTCCGGGTTTAATAGCATTGGTTTTTTAGTTTGTGAATGTCCAAGAGGGTTAATAATAAAAGAGAATTGGGAAAAGGCAGAGACGCACAAGTTCGCAGAACCGCTTGAAGCTACCGAGTTGCTCAGGCAATTTGGTGGCCAAAACAGCTTCTTCTTCACAGCCGGGACCGGCCATGTCAACCACATCAACCAGTTTAGGAAAATCAAGGTTAGCTCCGCTGGCCACCGCCACTAGGTTTTTGCCCCTCACCGATTCCGCCTGAGAACCGTAGTTCCGGTAAGCCTTTGCTCCCGCCAGGGCCAGAGCCCCTGAGAACTCTAATATACTCCTCTTCTCAAAGTACACGTCCTGTAATTTCATGTGTATTTATATGCAACAAAAAATCAATTCACACGATACTTTTCGACCACAAATTGTGGAAAAAAAAACGTACTCCATATTTAAGTTGTTTAGAATAAATTCGATGTACCAAGTTTTTATAACATTCATTTATTCAGATTATTTTTACTATCTCCGTCCCAAATTGTTTATAACATTTTGAAAGACGCGCAAAATATAATCTCTTTTAAAATTATTTTCTTTACAAATTGGTAGAGAAATGAAAGGTAAAAATAAAACCGTTCAAAAAATTTCAAAAATTTTACAAAACAAGATGCGACAAAAATATTTTCTGTAATATTTTATTTTATCCGGAAAAATTTCTAGATTTATGTGTGAGGAGAGAAGTAATAAATTACCCTTATGGCCTCAGCGATATCTTTATCCTCGACAACGACGACCCCGTCAACGAGCTGCTTGCAAAGATCGTAAGTGACCTCGCCGACGAGCGCCACCGCGACACCGTCGGCGTAAGTGTCGGTGTACTCCAGCTCCACCCGCTCTCGCTTCTGGAAGGACAGGGCCATGCCGCAGGCGCCGGAGGGCTCCACGCCGATGATCTTCACGTCGGGGAAGAGGGCCCTCATGTAGACGGCAATGCCGGAGACGAGGCCGCCGCCGCCGATGGGCACGAATATCGCGTGCAAGTCGTCGTCCTTCGCCGCCTGTTTCGCGATCTCCAGAGCGACGGTCCCCTGGCCCACCACTATTTCTCTGTCGTCGTAGGGAGGAATGAAGACGAGGTTCTCCTTCTCGGCCCTTTCCAGGGCGTAAAGCCGGGCCTCGTCGAACGACTGCCCGTGCGGGTCAATTGTGCCGCCCAGTCTCTCCACCGCTTGTTTCTAACCCCAACCAGTAAAAAATTAAGAGAAATTTATCTAAATAGGACTAAAACATAATGACTTTTCCAATATAGGACCATATGTTTTTATTTCCCAATGTAGGACCCTTTGTCATTATCAAGTAGTCATTATTCAAATAAATGTCCATCATTACTGGACATAATTCCTCCCACTAGGTCATTATTAAGTCCTATTTAGAGAATAAAAAAATTCAAGTCCTACATTGGGAAAGTCATTATGTTTTAGTCCTATTTAGTGCAAATTTCACAAAAATTAAACCAATTATTAAAAATTGATACCCATTCAAACACTTTTACCTCACTTAAAATCACCAATTAAGTGTTTTAACTTTTTTCTAAAATAAATAAAGGTAAGTTACTTAAATAGAACTAAAAGATTACTCCGTATGATTTTTTCAATATAAGACCATATGAGATATTATTAAGTACTCTCTTCGTCCTATAAAAAGAGAGACATTTGACTGAAGTGACAAAATAAAGGAGAGATAATTTTGTATTGACTTTTCAGAAACATTCTTGATGTGATGGGTACTAAAAGTAGGCTGTGATGTATAGATTATTTGAAAAAAGGTATGATGTGATATGAAGGATATGAAAAAGTAAGAGGTAAAAGTGGTTTTTTAATAGAAATGGGAAGGAGATTGTGGGATATCATTTTTTTGAAACGTGAAAGATTTTTTTAGACTAACGAGTACTCCGTATTATTTAAGGAATAAAAAGGTTAAGTCCACTATTTAGTGCAAATTTCATAGGAGTAATAAACAAAGCTAAAGCTAAGGGTATACCTTAATGCAGGGGGTGGTTTCAGGCATGACAATGATAGCGGTGCAGCCCAATCTCTGGGCAGCCAATGCCACCCCTTGCGCATGATTCCCTGCAGATGCCGTTATCACTCCTCTTTCCAGTTCTTCCTCACTCAGCTTTGACATCATATTGTACGCCCCTCTAAGCTTGAATGAAAACACCTGCATGCACACACATATATATCATTCATTACATTTCTACACAAACTAATCATTAATCATCAAACAGCTAGTTTAATTCTCTTGAATTGAGCCATGCGTGCGTGCATACAGACTGCTGGTCGTCTCTCTTGAGCCAGTACGAGACGCCGAGGTCGTCTTCGTCGGAGAGCAGAGCCTCCCTCTCCAGCGGGGACTCCACCGCCACGTCGTACACCTTTGACCCCTCGATTTCCCTCACGTACTCGCCCAGGTCCACCGTCACGTTCACGCCCACGTCCTTGTTCGGAATCAGCTTTCCCACCTCGTACACCAGCTCGTCCGGGGTGTACTTCGGCACTGCGGCGGCGGCGGCTGGGGCGTTTACCGGCCGGGCAGAAACCTTTGCATGGATTGACCGTCTTGGGGCGGCGGCACGTGGGCCTACGAGTCTCTGGGGAGGAGCGGTGGGAGTTTTGTGGGAAGATTTCAGGTGGAGGAGTTTCTTGCCGGAGAGTGTGCGGCGGTGAAGGGTGGATGATAGGGCAAGATTGTTAAGACAGAGAACTTCCATAATGATTTTATGTTAATTAATTGTGATGATGATGGACTACTGACTAGGTGCGAGTGGATGTCTGTATTTATAACGTAGGAGATAGGAATGCAACTTGAAGTACACATGTCCTCTCTCCATAGTATGCAAGTTTTGTCGATCTAGAAGTCACGAGTTTGAACGTAATTTAACATTATCTATTTTAAAAAATTAATTGTCACGTAAGATTCTCAAACAAAAAAAAAGTATTATATCCATGTGAATGGGATGTGATAGACCAAAACCCAACATGTTGTGTAAAATATAAGAAATACTGTATACAAATAAGAGCGTAGACGATATATTTTGACGTAGAAACTAGATCGGTGAAAACTATGGGTCTTTTTGGTCGTATCATGCCAATGGGGTATTTTATTATATCCTGGGGTATATTTGTACAGCATATTGGCGTGATAGCCATTGATGGAGCTCGAAGCTCCATCGAGAAGGAGAAGACGAACAGAGACAATATAGTATGTGTGCAAGGTAGAGGAGGCCCCGTTCTTCTTAGATTTGTGCCCCTTATATAACGTCATAATAAGAGCTTGGGTTAGAGTTCCTCAATGGGCTTTTCACATGGACCAACCCAATATTTTTAATTAAGCCTAGAGGATATTATTCCATGAGGGTGTTAGAAATAAGATATACAAGTAGAATATTATTATTATTATTATTACTGTTTAATTAAGCCCAGCATATTAATGTTTAAACAAAATTGATAAGTGTATACTATTTTGATGTACATTACTTATATACAAGTGTGTTATTAAGAGATGCACATAATATTTGAATAAACATAGGGATACACCAAAATGGGGTATCTCATTTATATATCAGGCAAACACAAATATTCGGTGTCTGTGATCACAGACATTAATTGTCTGTATTTGCCTGATGTACAAATAGAGTAACCCATTTTGGTGTACTCTTAACACGACTCATAATACTCTCTCCGTCCCACAATTTTTGTCCACTTTTGACTTTTGAAACTGTTCATCTAAGCACTTTGACTCATCAAATTTCCTCAATGTGTAAGCCTAAATATAGTCATGTGTGATCTTGTTTGATTTGTCTTAATATATAGATTATTAATATATAATTTCTATAATTTTTTAATATACAAATTACAAAATAAAATGGATTATAGAAGTGCATTGGATGATGTGTAAAAATGAAAGTGGACAAATATTCTGAGACTGAGACGGAGGTAGTATTATCACACACAATAATGTATCTCTACCATAAGTCCATAACCCACAATCATTGAGCGAATATGAAAAAGATCGAAACAGAAATGGGACGGAGCCAAAGATGAAATGACACGTTACTAACCATTGTAATTGTACTATGGTGGGTCACAAATTAAAGCACATGGGCAAATTAAATTGTCATAAAGTACGACGGTACGGCTACATTTATTTGACAATTCAAAAATATTACCTTCCCTACTAAATTTAATTGGACAATTTGAACAATGTGTAAAATTTTATTATTGTCCCTTTTTTTAAAATAATTTTATTGATGAATTGGTATAAAATAGATAGTATAAATCACATATCTAAAACTAAATAATAAATTCCACAAAATAAGATGCGAAACCCATTAAAACAAACGAGTAAACAAAAATTATCGAGATACTCAAAGAGTAAAGTGTAAATCATTTAAGAATGGATGAAGTGTAACGGAATAATAACAACAATTTTAACACTACGGATGAGAGCAATATACAATAATCCAATGAAATCCGACGAAACTAGCGTCTACGGATAGTATATGTACGCACACATTACCCCAACTTAATGACACCAATATACTAGGAACAAGTTCATACGCACACATAATATAATTAATTACCGGTGAACTTTGTGTTTTCAGATACGATCATATCTAGTGTATGTGCAAATTTATAAATAATTATCATTCGTAATGTCAAAGTTAATGTGACTTAAGTATGATCCTTGAAGTTCTTGAACAAATTGATAACAAAAATGATAGGGGTAACCAATAAATGTACCTCAAGTATGCCTCAAAACATCTCTACCACATAATTTAAATATTGATGAAAAATTAATAAATAAATACAGAAAAATCAATGGTTAACAACGATGATGTACAAATGGGGTACACCAAATGATATACATCTAGCATTACTCAATTGCTAAAATGTTTTAGATTGAAATCAGAAACACCCCAAAGACCGTACCCAAGTTGTGGAACGAAACTAAGAATATAGTGAATAAATCAATAGTGAAAAGGAATGAATTAATAAATCACTTCAATATCTCAAAGGAATGGAATGATCTCTCGTTAAAATAGTGATGAATAAACATTTGGATGTGTTTATTGATTAAAAAAAGAATGGAATGATAAGTATCTCAGCTCGAACAAAATTTTTTGGTGAAAACAAAAGATTAAATTAAATAAAAACAATTATTTCTCCATAAAAACATTATTCGGGCAAAAACTAAAATGAAATGAAGTTTAATGGACAAATCTAATTATTCTACTCCATATTTCATAACTACATAAATAAATTTTTTTATAAGTGTACTTGTATTTTCCATATATAATAAAATTATTAGAGTAATGTTAAGAGTACACCAACTTAACTATTAATTTTTATTATCCACTTTTTTTATTCACACCAACAAATGTGCGGTAAGGGGTGAAAGTTGGGGTACACGTGGCATTTTGGTAAAATTATATTGCATATTCCGTCCGTCCCGAAATTGATTCCAATTCAATCTCTCGCTTTTATATGTTTGTTTCATTGATTATTTATAAAATAAAACATTCATATTAACCATTGTTTTGTAGAATATTTGGCATTGTTTTTAATATGTAAGTTTTGTTTTTTATTCTTAACTAACTTTTAAATAAAATGATTTGAAAAACACAGAATTTCACATCACTAAAATTGTAATCTAATTTAAGATAAAGAAAGTGTTATTTAGGAAGAAAGAATTATATTTCCTATGAACATTGGATTCTTTATCTTTATCGTTTGTCCCCTTTTTCGGCAAAAAAAGGGAAATGTTTTAGTACCCTTCATATCTTTGGACACACCATATGGCACTATCATAACACCATCATCTAAGTATTAAAAAACACCATCTTGTACTCACCATATTTTCTACTTATTACACTATGTTCAATCCAAAAAAGTTTGAAAAAGAAAAGAAAGTAATACTTCATATGTCTAAAATCTCATCCTTTCTAAAATTATTTTGCATATAAATTTGTATAAAAATAAAAATTCCTAATCACATATTCAAATTAAAAATAACTCAAACGCTCTATGAAATAAAATGTGATAGGAATATTTTATTTGATCAAGTTATAAATAAAAAACCAATAAACAAAAGTTACCAAAAATCTAGAATAATAATTAAAACGATATTTTTTTTGGACAAAGGAACTGAACTATGAAAATAATTTTCTTATTTAGCTAGGGAAGATAATAAAAAAATAGAAGGAGAAAATAAAAAATGAAATGGAAAAAGACGATTTCTCCCATTTAATTTTTTCTTTTTTTTAACTCCTTAAACCAAACATAGATGATAGAACCATTGACAAGACCAAACAGAGTAATGCAAAACATGGAGACACTTGTCCATCTCTCAGTAGCCTTGGCCCATTTCGTACGAGGTGGAGAACCATCATCATGTAAAACAATAGAAAAATGCTAGGGGTATACCAAAGGTGTACCCCAAATATCCTCCATCCCCTCCTTGTCCACTAAAAAAGACAAAAAAATTTTTAAAAAAAAAGTAAATAAAAATGTGTAGAAGAAAATAGGGTGGTGTACATTTGGGGTACACCTTTTGGTGTACCCCTAGCATTACTCAAAACAATAATAGTGCAATAATTTTGGATAATGTTAAAACTCTAACACAATACAAATGATTTTATATCTACAGAGACAATATTATTTGTATTGTTCACATATGATTAACATCTATGTATATATAAAATTGTCTATTTTGTCATCGGTGAAAACATGGATAACGAGTTGATTATCGTCTATGTAGATATAATATCATTTGTATTGTCGGTGAAGACATTGATGATGAGTCTGTAGACCATAATTGTCTCAAATTTGACATCTTTTTTACGAAGTGTATTAAAAAAAGAGTAAAATACTTGGGGTGTACTAAATTATACCCAATTTGTATCTTAATCATCTCTCCACCATTTATTTCTTAGCTTGTGAATAAAAAATTTACAATGGACAAGAAATAGGGATATGCTAGGTGTACACCGCATTGGTATCCACTACTTGTACAACAATGTATTACACCCATGAACAATTGTTGTCTGTGTGTCCGTAACATACTGGTGTATAAGTGATATACACCAATGCGGTGTATACAAAACATTTTTCGTAAGAAATACGTAATATGCAGTGCAAATAAAGCTGATGTAAAGGATGTGTACAACTTGGTAAACCTTTAACATTACTCTTGATGGTGTAAAACCAATGTGAGTATTAAGTCACTAAAAGCGAAAGGATTGTAGGTGGGAACACCTGTAACCCGGTTTGTTATTTATAATATGGGCCGATTACAATGTAGAAGCCGCGCGGATTATTTATTGTTTGCCTTCTTTATGATGAGGCTCTCATTCCTATTTATAATAACATCAAATACACTGTTTTTGGCTACTGTTTACATCAAATTATCCACTTGCGCTGTCAGATCCACTTGTGCCGGTGCCATGTCAATGCCGATACCCGGCTAGTCTTCAAGCCTTCTGCGGATCCAGTCACAATCATATCGGTCTGACCTCAGACATCCACCCAGTCAGATTACCAAGGAAGATGAAGTCAAGCTTAGTCAAGCCTTGGTACCAATGTGTTATACCCATCAACTCTAATAAAATAAAATAAGGAATGCTAGGGATACACCAAATCGTGTACCCCATTTGTACACCATGCATCTTCACCCTCTATTCCTCTTTTTTATTTTTAATTTTTTTTATCTAAATATGTTTGAAATAAAATATGTTTGAGATAAAATATGTTTGAGGTACACTAAATTATACTAGTATTCCAACTTGTACGTCAGTCATTTCCTCACATCTCTTGGTGTGGATAAATAAATTTGATAATGGATTACAAAAAAGGTTGGTGTACAAACTCTATACAACTTGATGTATCCTTAACATTACTTTAATTAAGTACTACATCCTCATGAAAAAGGCAACTAGTAACAAAACATATAAAAAAATATCAAAATATGAGTTTCTTATTTTTATTCACAAAATATGAATTACAATATCAATAATGTTAATATATAATACCAAAAAATATTGTGAAATGTCAATATACAGGACTATATTGTCACAGGACAAAATTCTATTTTGGAAATAAAAATATAAAACTCTTACTTTGGTACTTTTACACTATTTTACACCTATTTAGGTGATTTTTTTTTCCAGAATGTAGAACAAATGCAACACAAAATCTAGAATGATATTTGATACATTCTTCTTTTTTTTTTAAGAATCAAATTCAAAATGAGCTCAAAGTCCGACGGAACCTGCAAATCTTACACAACAAAATCAGATTCCTTTCTTTAAACTCTATAGAATGACTTCACCTGTCATGTGGAGTAAAATGGAACTCGCCATTTTTACCAACAATTTGTGTTCGTAAGTAATCAGAAATCCCCCATGAAAAAAATAATTCCATGACAGAAACTGAGAAAGGAAAAACCTCAACTCTAAAGGAAAGCTTTGGAAAATAATGTTTCAGACACTGGTGATCATCAAGCTATAAGTGCAGTTGAACTCAAACTCAGTCCAAGGGTATGAAAAGTAATTATCGGGCTGTTTTAGTCGTCATCGGTGCCAAAATACCGGTCCCCAAACTCGCCCATTCCAGGGATGACACGAAAATCTCCGTTCAACCCGATTTCAATCTCAGACGTGACAATCTTTATTCTAGGGAAGCGTTCGCAGACCACATGAACTCCCTGAGGTGCCTGGCAATGTCACACATTATTAGAAGAGAAACCATTTTTCAAAGGAAAACACCGGCTTACAAGAGAGGACATTGTTAAGAATGACCCAGTGGGAATGGGGGACTCACGGATATGAGATTTAGGAATAGAATGTTAGACTCCGGTACACCCTTCTTTATAAGTAGAGAAATGGCCTGAACTGCTGAGTTCCCTGTAACAAGGTTGATTTAATTTGTTTAAACATATAAATACTAAGATCGATAACAACTACAAATTGTCCCACATGTGGGGTCCTTTGAGCTCAAATAGACCCGGGCTTCTCCTGGCTTTTAGATTAGTCTTTTTTAATTCTGAGTGTTCGATGTGATACTATATTCTCAACACAATTCAATCGCTTTACAAAATGGGAGCTTTTTTTTTTAAGGGAAGGGGGAGATTAATGGAGGATGATGCACTAACCAGTTCCCAAGATAGGATCCAACAATAGGACTTGCCTCTCGGCTATGTCATGTGGCAGTTTTTCGTAGATGAGCTGCACAATGATAAACCATGTAAGTATTAATACGCTAAGGTCCCACAAGTGGGGTCTGGGGAGGGTAGTCGTAAAAACCTTACCCTACATCCCTACCTATAAAGGTAGAGAGTATGTTCCCCAAAGACCACCCTTGACAACATAACAAAGTCAAGTAAAGGAAAACCAACACAATGTAAGGGCATGTTGAAAAAGTGGTACTCACATGTTGACCATTATCGCCTTCCCGGTGTATTAGAATCTTTCCGATTTTTATACCTTTACAACATGCCCGCAGAGCATTCTCCATACTTTCACCACTGCAACAACAAATTCAGTAAAACTTCATATTTTCACCACTACATGGTGTGTGTACGCAGACCCTTCCAAGAGTTTTTTTTTTTTTTTTTTTTTTTGAGTAACTCAAGTTTTATAGCCTAAAGTGAAAACAAAGATATCATCAGTAGTTTACCTTCGAATCACCGAGACGCCACATAATCTCTTACAAAAATCAACACCAGTGTACACAGATTCTGCACATTCAAGAAAACATTAGGAAATTTAGGATACATCATCACACCATCTTAAAACAAATTCCCTTTGTAGAGAGTGTGAATGATGAGAATTACAACATTATTTTGGCTTTTACCAGTTGGTGTGATGATCTGCTTTTCTGTAAACGGCAGATGCCCTAGACCATGTTCAACTACCTAGTTAAGGTAATCATCCAAGTGTACTTATTAGTAAAATTAGCATATCATTCGCCTTTGATTTTAAAAGCCGGCAACTCCATAAATTAACTTTACACTAGAAACACCTACCAAGCGGATCAATCGATCAGCATAAAATACAAAATCATGTTTTGTTGTTTGGGAATCACGGATGAGAGTATGCATGCCTCGTATCTGAAAGTAAGTAATAACAATCATTACCAGCATTATACTCCCTTCATTCACATTTAACTTACCATTATGAATTTTGTGATACATCAAAAGTTGAATGAATAATTGAATATGGACATGCATCATGTCTACATTCATTCCGTTTTTAATGTATCATTAAAGTCATAATGGAGGGAGTATACTGCATGTTCAAATAGAGAACTTTGAGAAATGGGAAATATTTGGAGACTATGACAACTGAATTGCAATGAATGGAAGGTGGTACCTGAAATGTTGAAGGAATGACATAAAGGTTGGAATATATTTTACAAAGATCATGTTGGCCAAGTTTTGACCTTATGTGTTGCACAATCAAATCGATGGCGACATGATTGTCTCCGCCGCGTGGAATGATGATGTCAGCATACTTCTTTGTCGGAAGAATGAAGTCATCAAAAGCTGGTTTAACAAACTTTGAATACTGCACGGTTTTAAGGCTGATCATTGATACATGAGAAGAAAATATGCAAGATTGTTGAGGTGAAAATACAAACAATGATCGAGTATCTTTACCTGATCAAGTATCATAGCAATATCCCTACATTTTTCATCTTTGTCACGCTTTATTCTCCTTGCTAGGCGTACATCAGCATCTGCAATGAATTTTGAGATTGTGGAATACATAAATGGTGAAAATATATCTTAACAAACAGCAAGGACACAAAATGCAACCTCAGGTAGTCATGAGCATACACATTTAACAAGCTATAAAAGCCAACAAAGAAATTCGCATATTGTAGAACAGAAAGGAACAAACCTATATCTACAAATATCTTCATATTCATCAGATCTCTTACACGGGGATCGTGAAAAATAAGTATGCCTTCAAGTATTATAACGTCTGATGGATTTACCTGCCATGCGTGCACCAAAAAGTAATCAATATACCATGTCGCAATAGACTAAAAGGAGACCCACAATATTACTCCCTAGTAATTTCATTTAGTAGTTAGTCCAAATGGGGACAATGATGGTTTTCTTTTGAATAGAGCACAAAAAATTTGTAAGATGATACTCTGTACATGCCAATACAAAAATGAGTGATGCCGAATGAGACACACACAAAGAATGACTTGATGCATTCTAAAGAGATTAAAACCCCATGCCTTGACTAAACTCTTCAAACTAAAGAGCTTGGCAAAGGAATAGCATAAAACATACAGCTGTTACCCAACTATAGAATGCCAGTAAAAAATATGCCCAAAAAATGTTGAGAAGAATATACCCTTCTCGTTGCAACATTTTTGTAACTCTTAAAGTCATATTTTGGAATATCTACTGCTTCTCCATGCTTCAGTTTGTCCATGATATACAACAATTGCTCAGTGTCAAAAGCATCTGCATAGAAGGGATAAATAACAAAGTAGTTTTAAAAATAAAATTAGGAAAGGTTAAGAGAGGGAAGAATGGGTTAGGAACTACACTAACCGGGATGATCAAAGTTGTATTCTTGAACTTTTGTAAGTTCTTCAGGTGTTAAATTATGATAGAAAGAATCCTTCAGTTAAAAAAATAAAAAGATGACCAATACTGAAAAAACTAAACGCCTTTCACAGAGCTATTTACCAAATGTGGACAATATGCCTTTAAACAGAAGAATACCTGATTGACTAGTACAACACGCTGATCGTGAAGCTGTTCGATGATCAAATCACAAACTGTGGTCTTCCCTGATGCCGCTCCTCCAGCAACTCCTATAGGAGGAAGTTTTTTTTAATAAGAACACGCACTGGAAAAATTATCTTTTGTATGTTTATGGGGGTGGGGTGGGGGAGCTGGGATGTATATAACACATTGCAACCTTAACTATCCAAGTATTATAACACTAGAGTATCAACAACCCAGAAAAATCCCACAACGTGGGGTCGAGAGAGGGTGAGTGTACTATGTACATAGACCTTACCCCTGCCTTAACACTATGTTTGGTTCAAGTAATATGAGAGGGGATTAGGGAAAGAAAAGGAAATGAGAAGGAAAACATTTTTCTTGTTTGGTTAGAGAGGAAAAGAGAAGAAAAGTGGAAGGAAAAGAAAATGAGAAGGAAAAATGTACTAAGAGGAGAGAAAATCAAATTCCTCCCATTTTGGTTGAGGAAAATGAAAGAAAACTATTTTCTTTTCTTTTTCCTTTCAAATTCCTTGAACCAAGCTTAGTGTAAGAGTAGAGAGGCTGTTAGAAAAGATAGCCAAAAAGAAAAAAAAGGATGCAAATTTTGAAATACTATAAATGCTATGCTCTACTATATCAACTTGATGCAACAAAGACTATGCATTGTTAACTCATGCAAATGCAGGGTAATCAACTTCCTAGTTCTATCTCTTTTTTAATGAATAGCATGTATAGTTGAATTCTTTATAAAATGATTTCGATAAAGCCAGAGACGCATTAACCAGTGCTTGTGGGACAATACAAGAAATTATGAAGAATGAATACTCAGTTAAATACCATAGTAAGGCATTATCATCTTTTGATGCAATCCATATAAGTTCTATTTGGCATGATTAAATTTGATGGCAATATGGATTTTTTGTTTAAAATGGTAATCCAAATATTACTAATTGCATAATTGATCTTAGACAGAGATAATTTAGGCTGAAGCAAATCCAGAAGATGGTCACAATGCACCCATTGGTTAATCAGGTGGTAGGCACTAAGTATGTTCTTCAGACAAAACTCACATATTGTTGGAGAAGCGTACCAAGATTTAGCAAATGACATAACACGTGTTTAGAATTACAACACAAGGCATGCCTGTGAAGCCTCATTTTGTGAAAAAAAATGAGTTCAACTTGAGTGAAATCAGTTTGCAAGCATATAAAGCCTCTATCTGATTTTTTCAATAGGCCAATAACTCATTTCTTATTGGTAGCGAAGGTTTGATGTAAAAACAAGTTGTTTTCAATGGGGTGGGGATGTCGTGATGCATATAAGTTTGGTTTGTCCAAGATCCTTGTGCAATGTGTTGGCAATATTTAATGTCCTTGAAAGAATGTTGAGTCTCAAACATCGATTTGTGCAAACATCCCCAGAAACTAAAGCTATAAATTTTTCATTTTTTCAAGAACTGATACAAGAACAATAGGTAGCATATCCCATAAAAACTGATAATAAGAAAAAGTGCTTGCAGATGATGTCAGCATAGAGCAAGAAACATTGAGTTCACAAAAATGTCCAACATACCAATGACAAATGGTTGTTTAGGAACATTTCCACTCATTGAAGTTGTTGGTTGCTCAATGTCGGTATCACTCGGGCCTTGCAAATGAAAACCCGAATAATGAACTCCTGATGAGGCCTCTATCAAATCTTCCACAGCTTTTGAACCCATCCTCTGATTTCCTGCAATAACCAAGTGATTAAAACTGGTAAGATTTCATAATTAAGCATCACTGTAGCTACACCACCCAACGCAGATCTTGATGGGAAAAACTCCTTATTTCTCTGTACAAGAAATCAGCTCAATTCTAGTACCAACACGGTGCGTACCGCGTAGCACTTTTTTTTTCTTTTCTTGAAAAATGTTGCATAGCATCTTAATCACTAAGCTCTGTTAAGACATCACACATAACCCAAACATAAAATATAAACGAAACTAAACCTTTGTGTTAGGATTGCACACACTCACACAACAATGTGGATGAAAATTTGAATAAATCAAAGAAATAAACGAAGAACACTCGAGATCTTAGAGAGAAAACACAGAGAATATGTTGTAACACCGACGAGAAACTCAACCGCGGATTAGGCCTATATAAGATATTAGATGCACAGTTAGAGAATCTAAGTTATAAAAAAACAACACGACAATAATAAAGGTAAAATCACGCTCAACGACCAAACACTTATTTCATCATCAACACCCACCATAAATAAGTATAAACCCAAACTAAAATCTACACTTACCAAACTATTCAAACAAAAAACTTACCAAAAAATTCAATCTTTATGCAAGAACAACAAGTATGAACACAAAAACAGAAAACAATGAAAACCAACTTCATGATTCAACCGCAGAACACAGCCCATTATGAGCGGATTACAGAGATTCACACAGAGAAAACGCATAGAAACTCGGGTTGGGCGAAGAAATAATGTACGGATGAGAAGAGGTGTGGATGAACTCTTACGCTTGTGGGGATGGATTCAGCAAGCGGCTGAATGCGGAAATCTGAGCGGATCTTTTCTTTCTTTAAATTGATTGGGAAGAGATTAAGGAGCTGACAGCTGAGCTACTGGTAAATACCATTTACGGGTCTATGAATTTACACAGAGGGAGGGGTAGTTATTGATTAGGATTTGGAACAAGTTTGAGCTTTTCTGATGTTTTGGGAAATTTACTGCCTGCCCCTCCTCGAATTCCGTATTTTCCGGCGCATTATACGTCGCTTTGGTTTGCATGCGACAAAAGTTGCTGTTCTCATTTTAGAAAAAAAAAAATAGGGAAATTTTGTAAAATAACCTGAAAAGATCTACTCCGTATATTTTACATATATACAAAAAAGAATTATACGGAATAAATATTTAAACATGTAAAGTTTTCTTGTATAATTATTCTTTGTTACTCCAAAATTTTTATTACTGCTTCCATTAAATAATATAGTCATATAACTTTTTAATTCATACACCTTTTGATATAATAAATTGAAATAGGTCGAATAAGTAATTTCTAAAAAAAATTTATCTCTATTTTATTAAATTAACTGTTTGACCCTCACATATAATTCAAAAAAGGGTAAAATAAAAAATAAAAATGTATGTGATATGAATTCACAAATCACAATAGACGAATATTGTGAATTGCATAATTTTCTTTTTAGATAGATTAGGAAAATCTGTTCTTTTCAAATAAAAAATATTTTTTTGTGGCCAATGTTATGGTAGACATGAGGTCTACACTTAAATGAATCTTTATATGAGCATAGACTTATCATTAAAGAAGCATTTTGTGTGTATGAGCATTGTTATGGTATGGGTACTTTGGAAGAATTATTTAGGATTTCATTTTATTTATTCAATAAGCCAAGGCAGTATTCACATTTGTGATACAATACAAAGAAAGTAGAGAGTGATTGGAAATCTAAAATAAGTATTGTGTCCATAAATTTATATATGGATGTGTATTGGAGGAGTTCCATGATGTTAGAACTTATATCATGGGATGACTCGGAATTTTTACAATATCACGTTCGTAAAATTGACGATATCACTCCCCCCCCCCCCTCCCCCTCCCCCTTCAGCACCCCCAAGTTAATTTTAACTTTGGAGTCATTGTGATCTCAAAAACAAAATTAACTTGGGATGTAATTGAAAAGGGTGGAGGTGTTTGGGTCGGTGCCGGATGCAAGGTTTACCGGAGGAGGGTTATGGGAGTAAGAACCGTCGATTTTACGAACGAGGCACTGTAGCAGTACTGAATCATCTATGACAAGATTCCAATGTCATGAGAACCTTCCCCTTTCTTTATACTCCGTATTATTCCGTAGTTTACTTATTTGAGAATCATGATACATATTACATGTATGATAGTTATGGTACTTAGACAAGTTTGAATATTTTGTGACTCTGTTTGTAATTTTATTAAATACTCACTCTGTCGCACAAAGATTTACACTTTTCACCATTCAAAAACCATAAAAACTTTTATTTATTTACGTATTTTTATTGATAATTTGATAAAATAAAATAGTTTTGGCATGTCTTATTTTGTACAACTTTTGGCATAATTTTTAAATATACAAATTTTCTATTTTTATTTTTAAATTAATCTTTAAATAAAATAAATTATAAAACTATGAGATTTTATTTTGCTATATATAGGGTGTAATTCATTTTGAGATAGAGTAAGAAATGTTGTTATGATACTAAATTTAACATCACAAAGGACACCTTTTAGCTTGGTATTATCATAGTAGAGAAATGCTAGATGTACCCCTAGAATTTCTCATCATAGTATGAGTCTTATATCCTATTTCTAAAGTTGGAATGCCCACCCAAGCGCCACACACTCTGGCCCGACAAGATTGTGAGGGATAAATCATGATATAATCTCAATTTAGTCTTTAGAGAAACTGCTCCGTACCCGATGTGTGCAAGGAACAATTACAAATAATACGCCTCTGCAAGGATTTGACATTAAGATCAATAGACTAGACATCCTCTCTTTGGACCATTTATGCTTTGTTTGGAAGGAGAGAAAGAAAATGGAGGAAAAGAAAACACAAATCCGAATATAAATTCTCTTGTTTGGAAAGAAAAGAAAATGGGAGGAAGAAAAAAAGTGAGAGTGACTTTTCCCTTCAAAATTTTCTCGTTGGAACCGAAGGGAAAACTGCACAAGGAGAGGAGATGATTTTTCATCTTATTTTCTCTTTATTTTATATCTATTCAAACACCCATTATTTTCCTTCTAATTTCTGCTCATTTTCTTTTCTCTCTATTTTCTTTCTCCTCATCTTCTTTCCTTTTATTTTCTTTTCTCATCCAAACATATCCTTAACTTCCCACAGTTATATCCTATTTCTATGCTTGTTTGAAACTTTTCCTTGAGAGAATGAAAAGGGACAGCTATTCATAAACCTTGAGAGAATATGAAAAGTGAGGATGAGAATGACACGCAGGCGCCGATTCGTTTGTGGGGTCCACTTCGAGAGTTCGTGTGTGCTTTAGTAATCTCATTGTCCTAACTCCTATAACTATACTGTACGGAGTATAATAATGCATCGTTTTGATTGAAATTATTTTCAAATCATTTTATATAAAAAATAATGTAGAATTAAAAAATAAAATTTACATATTTAAAAAACAACATCGAAAGATCTATAAAACTATTATATAAATATATTATTTTATAAAATGACTAACGAAAATAAGGAATGAAAGTGAATAAAATTTAACCGTGTGAATAATAAACATGTAATTTAATGTGAAACGGAAGGAGCATTGTAATGTCTACATTCTTGTACTCTAGTCCCACCATTTACAATCCACGTTCATTATGATTTTTTTAGAGTAAATTCCCAAAATAGTCCTTTGTAATAAGGAGATTTCCCAAATTAGTCCTCAATAAGTTTTAATGAAGTACTCCGTAGAATTGAATTTACTCGCATGCGAATATGTGATTGTGGCTTGTGTAGATGAAATGAAAATAGAACAGAGCATGAATCATGTTGTACTTTCCTTAAAAAGGAAGTGAAAGATGAATTCTTTGGAAAGAAAAACAATCTAAGTATAAGCAATGAAAGAAATAATGTAAGGGGGTGTTTGAGAGTACAATAAGTTCTTGAAAACAGAAGTATTAAAGTTGGAAATCTGTAGTTCTGAAGTCATAATCCATAAACTAAATCAGATTATCAAACACTTAAAATTTCGAAGTCCGAAGTTTATTTTAAATCCGAAAAGTTAAATGAAGGTGGCATAACGAAGTTTTCCTCATTTTCAATAGCTATAGGCTACTAAAGTTTACAAACTATCCCTTCAAAAAAATGTTTAAAAATTACCGTATATATTTGTAAAATATGACTATTTTATGGAAGGGAAAGTGTAAATTATGGGGTTTCCTTCTAGTCAATCTACATTAAACTTCCTATTATGCAAGGGCATGAAGCCCCCTACATATGGCTTTGGGTCATATGTAGTGGGCTTCATGCCCTAACATGGCGCCATTATCATGCCGCCGATCAACACCCCTCCCCCATACGCTTTATAGAAAAAAATTGGAGGCGCCATCTGTATAGCGGTCCTCCCTTCCCTCCTCCAACCAATCATCTTCTTCCTATTTTTTTTAATTAATTAAGGAAAACTTTGTGTGATAATGAAGAAAGCGTTATGCACTACACCATTTTAAAGGTCATGGTTGCCACATTGCGGATAATGTTCCCTCTCAGGGGCTTCATGACTACAAATGGTCCAAGGGCATCCACAATGGGTTGCTCTTTATAGCTACTTACCTCATTTATTTATTTTTCACATGTGCTGGGATGACTGGCTACGTGACTGCCAGAATGCAGTGCTTGGGATTTCCATGTTCAAGGCAATAGTACTAGAGAGTAAAGATGAAGGCAGTTAGACAACCTCCAGTAGAGCACATTTCTTCTGCCATATGTCTATGCCTGGAAGACTGAGTGACAAATCTACAATGATATCATTTATATGATTGCGATTTATCATGCTACAAGCCTACAAAATGTGTTTGAAAGAAAAAACATTCTGGTAACAGCCATCTAGATTCAGCAAGTCATCAGCTTACTCATTCAAACACAATAAGGCGATTATGACTACCAAACAGAGGCTTAACTTTTCTATGCACAAAGTTGTAGCACCATTCAACTTCTTGTAGATTTTTTTAAAAATATATCGTCAACAAAACCCACTATAATCCTAATTTTGTTCTCGTCAAGGTGGTCAAGATGGTTAACCCTAAAAAGGGGGATGAGTTTCCATTAGAACCTTGATGCATTGTTGCACTTACTGCCCAAAATTTAATGAAAGTGGTGAAGAGTGTTGAAAAGTAAAAAAGGTGCTATATGAATTTGTTTGAAAGAGAAATGTTGTGAGCCACATACTCTTTTCTTTTGAGTAAAAGTGTGAGCTTTGTTTTTGAACGGATAAAAAGGAGAGTGAATTTAATTAGAGGACAGAGAGATAATAGGCAAAGAAAGTTTAATGTTTTATATATGAAAACAATGGCATAGAGGAACATCCACCATAGAAAATACTGGCTAGGTCCATACTGCATAATCCATAACTCAAAATGGCAAACATACAAAGAAAAAAGAATATACAAGTATACAACAATCAACTCATCCTAAAAGAACATTAACCATAGAAACATTGATGCACCTGTCACCTTCCAAAGCATTTCAACACTGAAGAAACCATAGATGATGAAAGAAACTTTAGCCCAGCCGATCCACCGGGGAAATAAGATATTGCATAGTACAGCAATGACATAACCTACGGAAATAGAAAATTATCGTCCTCAAAATTAGATTTGAAAACACACTCCATTATTCTTTTGATTATGCAAGCAGATAAATAAACTTGATGCGTACCTGAATTACAGAGAAGAGCACGGAAAGGATATAGTTGTGGAGCCCCATAGACACGTAAAGAGTGCCTATCATGCTGCCTATAAACCCAATTGTAAAAGGAAGTCTCTGGTGGAAATAAAGTTTTAAAAAAACATAAGAATTAGAAGAGTACAGAGCCAAAGTAATGATAATAATACTGGAGACATTAGTTAAAACACACCTCCATTGATAACATGTGGGCAAGCTGGTTCTTTGTACCTCTGAGAGCAAAGAATGCTCCAATGATCAAGGAACACCCAAGAGTGAAACAAATCGCGAATTTCTGAGGCACCAACACAATAACAGGAAGGAACAACGCAAATGCCATGAAAATAAAGAAGATTCCAGTTGCAAGAAATAAGCCAAAGTACATGAGTGCTTTTCCGGAGGGAATGTTACTGGTAGCAGACTGAAAATTCCCTGGCATGTCTCTAACCCCCTTCGAAACTCTGAACACGGTTCAAATATTTGGAAAAAAAATTAATGGAAAATTGTCCAAAGTTTCTAGTAGTTCAAATTCCCAATGTAATAATGTTCATACCAAAATGGCATTCAAATCATACATGGTCTTTACTACAAAAATTCCTTCATGAAATATTCAGTGAATCAATACTGGTAAGCTCTAATTTTTAGCTCAAGTAGTGTCCTAGACTTCAAACCATCGCACCTAGAAAACAACTTCTGGCGCTGTGAAAATGAAATGCATAAAAACCTAAATCGTGTATAGAAGAAAATAAGTTCCCTGCGGATTTTCTAATTTCAATACCAAACCTAGATGATTTAAACCAGTAAACATTGAGCAAAAAAGAAAACGAAAACTGGTCATGATAGAAAAAAAATAAAGGCTCACACGCTGAATGTGCCAGAAACGGTGTCGTTAGCGGACCGGACAGCAGCTTCCAGATCGAATGCGCCGATGAGGGATCCAGTTGCGCCGTCTCCATGAGAGGCTTTGGTGGCCGCGTAAGAGTTCCAGTCGGCCAAAAGAGACGAAGAAGATGCGGGATCCGTTTGCCGCTGCTGAATATCATCGCCGGCGGTGAAGCCTGAAAACCAATTCTGCATTTTCTGTAGTATGAATCTCTCTCGAGGCGGTGTTCCTACGAGCGTTGTACCTTGTAACACCGCCCGCCACTGATTCAGCTTCTGCGGGACGAAATGGGGTCGTCGTAGATTGAGCGCCCGGGTCGGGTCGGCGCGTAATCTAAACCCACAGCCTAGTTATGGGCTCTCTTCATCTATCCTTAATAATTATATCCGTCCTAAAATTAATTTCCCAGTTTGACTTTTCCAGTCAAATTTTTTAAACTTTGACCGTATATTAAAGAAAAAATACATTGAACTTTCATATAAATTTATTAGGAATAGATTTATTTTGGAATATAGTTTTCAAATATATAATTTTTATAAAATATATTTATATAAAATTTGAGATATTGAAGGTCAAAGTGTCGCATTGGAGACCGTGAAAAGTTAAATGGGAAGTTAATTTTAGGACGGAGGGAGTATATACTATAATTGAAATAAATTCTATCTAATTTAAACGTACTCATATATAAAGTTATTTTTGTTTTGACAATAAGAATAAGTTAAAAAACACACGATCTTATTTGATTTTTTTATATTTGGCTAAAGATTAGACCGATCTCGGACTTAGTTGCCCTCTAAGAAAAACTAAAGTAGTTATACTTGGGCAATAAATTTTAAATATAATATTTATACAAATACAGATATACTCTAAAATTTAGAACATGCTTTTTAAAACTAAAAAATAGAAGAATGTTAGGAGAACTAGAAAAAACTGGAAGAAATTAGAATAAACTATAAGAATTTACAAAAAAAACTCAAAAAACTAGAAAAAATGAAAGAAACCGGAAAGAACTGGAAAAGTTTAGATGAAACTGAAAAGACTATAAAAAATTAAAAAATCTAAAAAAGAACTTTAAAAAATTTATTTTAGCTTATTTTTCTATTATTCTCATTCTAACTACTCCCTCCGTCCCTGAGTGTTTGTCCACTTTCATTTTTGCACACCATCCAATGCACTTCTTTAATCCATTTTATCTTGTATTTTGTATATTAAAAAATTATAAAAACTATATATTAATAATCTATATGTTAAGACGAATCAAACAAGATCACACATGACTATTTTTAGGCTTACATATTGAGAGAATTTGATGAGTCAAAGTGCTTAGATGAACAGTTCTAAAAGTCAAAAGTGGACAAACACTCAGGGACGGACCTAGTAATATTTTTATAATTTACTAATTCTTTTTATTATTATTATTGATTTTTTTCATACACAAAAAAACTACTTTCACAAAACAAAATTTAATTAGAATATAAAGTTAGCATAAATTCAAAGTGTTAACTTTTAAAAAGTTATTGTGGTTACGTTTCACTTCAATTCATTTATGCAGCATTTATTATAAAAAATATATTTGTAATTATATTTTATATATTACAATATGTTGTATCAAATATCATGTATGTTACATACTGTAATCAAACGTATTTTTTCTTTAATGATTGATATTTTATTTTCATTGTAACTCCTAATTTGGAATAAAGACATAAAGCTCTTATTTTTTTGTGCATTTTTTATGTTATACGTACTCCTACTTTAGTCCTTTTCTCTAAAGTATTTTAACTTTTAAATTTTTTTATAAAAATTTGTTCATGTAGATTAATATAAAAATTTGTACTATTCATATTAAAAAGTTAAAAAAAACAGTAATAAGTGTAAATTGTAAAAATAGTGAGATGAAAAAATGAAATAATTTATAAATTATAATTAAGAACATAGTAGTTGTAATAATAATATTTCACAATGCCTCAAGAGTTCAAACATATAAGCTGGTACAACAAACCCATATCTCACTTAGAACATGTTCTTTAAAATTGGGAAAAAGAGCTGGATGTTGGAAGAAACTGGAAAAAACTGAAAAAAACTAGAAGGAATTGAAAAAAAATTAGAAGAACTGGAAGAAAATGGAAAAAATTAGAATAAACTAGAAAAAGCTCAAAGAAACTGAAAAAAATTAAAAGAAACTGAAAATACTAGAAAAATTTAGAAAATCTAAAAAAACTTTATTTTTTAATGTATTTTTATATTATTCTCATTTTAAATATTGTTGTTATAAATTATTGTTGTTGTTATTATTATTGTTATTATTATTATTATTATTCTTGTTGTTGTTGTATGCATCACATTATCATAAGAGCCCAGTTCCATGGCCACTGGATTCCAGTGGTCACGGAAGCTACTGCTCTCATACGGAGCTCCGTTCATAAAATTGATGATTTGAACCCCCTTAACCTCCGGTAAACCCCCACCAAGTCCCGATCCAAACTAATCAACCCACCTACGTCAATTGCACCTTGTAAGTATAATTGACTTTAAAGTCAAAAGTTTTGATTTTATACTTACGAGGTGCAATTGACGTTGGTGAGGTGATTAGTTCGGGTCGAGACTTGACGGGGGTTTTATCGGGGGTAGAAACCATCAATTTTATGAACATAGTTCAGTACGGGGACAGTGGCGCCACTTCTTTCCTACGGAGCTCCGTTCATAAAATTGATGATTTCTACCCCTTTAACCTCCCGGTAAATCCCCCGCCAAGTCCCGACCCAAACTAAGATAAAAACAATATTGTTATTTTTCATACACAAAAAAACTATTTTTGCACCATATGATGTCTCAAATGAAACAGGAACTCTAAATTCAAATTGTTATTGCAACACGCACTTTGCACAATTTCATTTGTCTTCATCGAAAAGGAATTCAAATTTCACCCAGACAGCAAACAACAGAAGATATGTCCAATGTGATGTTGTTTGATGAACAAAATAAATATGTAATGAAGCATTTTAGAGATGAAATAACAGTTAATATTCTACAATGTAGTTAAACTTAATTAAAAATACTAAATACGGAGTATAATTTCCACAATACTAAAAAAACACACTATCTAACTATTTTATTCATAATTTTTTTAAACATTTTAAATATTGACGTTTTCTTATTCTATCGTGTAGATTAATATATAAAAAATTATATTATTCATATTAAAAAGTTGAAGAAAATATAATAATGAGTGTAAACCATAAAAATATTGAGATGAAAAAAATGAAATAAATTATAAATTATAGTTACGAACATATTAGTTGTAATAATAATAACAACAACAACAACAACAACAATAATAATAATAATAATAATAATAATAATAATAGTAATAGTAATAATAATATATTGTTTTTAGAGTGATTTATCTGAAAGTAGAAAGAGTTTGAAGAAAATAAAAATAGTTGAAAGAAACTAGAAGAAACTAAAAAAACTAGAAGAAACTGGAAAAGATGGGAAGAAACTAAGGAAGTGGAAGAACTCTAGGAAGTTGAACAGAACATACAGAAACTGGAAGGAACGGGAAGACACTGGACGATAATAGTTCAAGCTCTAAATAACATGTTCTTAGTGTTACATCTAGGGTCGGTGAAAATAATGTCAAAAAACTAGTCTTACAGTTATTGTTTAAATTTTATAATTAATTACTTATCGTTTGAATTAAGTTATGGTTAGAAAAACCAAACCACAACTAATGAAAATGAGAAAAACAACTAAATTTATATAACATTAATGGAATAAACAAGGAAATAAACAAAAAATAACTTCAAACTATTAAGAAATAAAAATAAAAATATAAGAAGTGATGACTTATACTCCGTAACATTTATGCACTATAGGATTAATGAAATACTTTTTCTTGGTCAAATATTAAAATAAAATAAAAAATATAAATAAAAAAATATTTCTTATTAAAACCATAACGAAAAATTTTTTATTCTATAACTAAAACGAAATAACATTGAAGTAAGAAAATTATTTTTTCTTCTTATTTTAAATTTTTATTTCCATCCTTCAAAAAAAATTTATTTTCATTTTATAGGATTTTAATAAGTTTTTTTTAATTTCTTTTTTTTATTTTTGGTTCTCATTTTTTATCAACGGACGAAAGCAATACATTAATATTTTTTTTATTTTATTTCTTATCAGCTTAAAGTTAGGCTTTTATTGATTCCTCTTTTAATATCATTAATTTTGTCTGATTTTAATATTTTTCTCATTTTTTATGCTTATTTTTTATATATGCAAGAATAAATTTAGTGATGTTCCAAATGAATAAATTTTCTTTTTTTTTTTAATTTAAAAAGTAAATGAACAAATTTACTTTGAACTTTGAAGTGTAAAACCCATCCACAAAGATTGCAATTTTTTCTTAGAATGGGGTCCATGGCCCAGCTTGACCCGGTCCCAAGTCTTCTTGGATTAAGTTACCCGGAAGGTATCAATTACGGAGTATCATCAAAATTAATTAACTTTAAAAAAAATCATTAAAGAAATAAAATACGGGTGGGTTACCAATGGAAGGATCTAGAATAGTTCAAAAAAATAAAACGGAATAGAAAGATCCAGAAACCCTAACAAAACCCCCTATATAAGGAACACACGACACTGATCTCGCATCGCCTCTTTTTTTACCTTCGCACTGCTTACTAGAATCACAATCTCAGAAAGAGATCGAAGCGAGTTTGCAAAGATATCGTCGGCAATGGCGGACACCGAGACGTTTGCCTTCCAGGCTGAGATCAACCAGCTTCTGAGTCTGATCATCAACACTTTCTACAGCAACAAGGAGATCTTTCTCCGTGAACTCATCAGCAACTCTTCTGATGTAAGGATCTCTACTAGTCGATTTCGCTCTTGTGTTCATTGATCTTGTCATGGATCTCTATCTCGATTTAGTTTATGTGAATGCTTCAGTTTTTTTTGATGTAGATCATAAATCGGTCGTTTTACTTCAACTGATTTTGTTTTTTTCGCTCTTCTTAATAGAAACATCCAATTGTTTTCCCTAGATCGGTTAAAGAACTCTCTGCCTTAATTTGGCTGCGTTGATCTTGTATTTTTCATACTTTTAGACTGCAATCGCTTCTATTAAATGTAAACTTGTCTCTATGTAGAATGCGAATTATAAAATTCACATTTAGCCGTAGGCTCTTCTCTCTATTCAAGTATTTTTTAAAAGCATTTAAACGGAGTTGAGGCTAATGAAGTGTATCTGTTAGATCTGTTCGAGTTTGGAATTGTATTGAAATAATGTTGCATTTTTGTTGGCATTTAATCTGTAATATGTTTTATGTGCATGAGACAATTCTCTTAATATGAATATGTTTGTTGTAAGCTGCTAAATGTTCTTCTAATCGTGTGTGATTAGGCTCTGGATAAGATCCGATTTGAGAGTTTGACTGACAAGAGCAAGCTAGATGGTCAGCCTGAGCTCTTTATCCACATTATCCCAGACAAGACCAATAACTCCTTGACTATCGTTGATAGTGGTATTGGTATGACCAAGGCTGGTAAGTGCAACTTCTACTGATCTCTGTGATAATTGGTTTGCTGTTTTGCTGTTTTCAACTTTTAGCATATACTCATGTTCTTTTGTGATGGTGCAGATCTGGTGAACAACTTGGGGACTATTGCTAGGTCTGGCACAAAAGAGTTCATGGAAGCCCTTGCCGCTGGTGCTGATGTGAGCATGATTGGTCAATTTGGTGTGGGTTTCTACTCTGCTTACTTGGTTGCGGAGAAGGTTATTGTGACAACAAAGCACAATGATGATGAGCAGTATGTGTGGGAGTCTCAAGCTGGCGGCTCTTTTACAGTTACCAGGGACACTGCTGGTGAGCCCCTAGGCAGGGGTACCAAAATCACCCTCTTTCTCAAGGAGGACCAGCTTGAGTACCTTGAAGAGCGCCGTCTCAAGGACTTGGTCAAGAAGCATTCTGAGTTCATCAGCTACCCAATTTCCCTCTGGGAAGAGAAGACCATTGAGAAGGAAATCTCTGATGATGAGGACGAGGAAGACAAGAAGGATGAGGAAGGTAAAGTAGAAGAGATAGATGAAGAGAAGGAGAAGGAAGAGAAGAAAAAGAAGAAGATTAAGGAGGTTTCCCATGAGTGGGCTTTGGTTAACAAGCAAAAGCCAATCTGGATGAGGAAGCCTGAGGAGATCACAAAGGAAGAGTATGCTGCTTTCTACAAGAGTCTCACTAATGACTGGGAAGAGCACTTGGCTGTCAAGCACTTCTCAGTTGAGGGGCAGCTTGAGTTCAAGGCTGTTCTCTTTGTCCCGAAGAGGGCTCCTTTTGACCTCTTTGACACAAAGAAGAAGCCAAACAACATCAAGCTCTATGTTCGCCGTGTCTTCATCATGGACAACTGCGAAGAATTGATTCCGGAGTACTTGAGCTTCGTTAAGGGAATTGTTGATTCTGAGGACCTCCCACTCAACATCTCCCGTGAGACCCTTCAGCAAAACAAGATCCTCAAGGTCATCCGCAAGAACCTTGTCAAGAAGTGCATTGAGCTCTTCTTTGAGATTGCTGAGAACAAGGAGGACTACAACAAGTTCTACGAGGCTTTCTCAAAGAACCTCAAGCTAGGCATCCACGAGGATTCCCAGAACAGGACCAAGCTTGCAGAGCTTCTCCGTTACCACTCCACAAAGAGTGGTGATGAGTTGACCAGCCTGAAGGACTATGTGACCAGGATGAAGGAGGGCCAGAATGACATCTACTACATCACCGGTGAGAGCAAGAAGGCTGTAGAGAACTCTCCTTTCCTTGAGAAGCTCAAGAAGAAGGGATATGAAGTTCTCTATATGGTTGATGCCATTGATGAGTACTCTGTTGGTCAGTTGAAGGAGTTTGAAGGGAAGAAGCTTGTTTCTGCAACCAAGGAAGGCCTGAAGCTTGAAGAGACTGAGGATGAGAAGAAAAAGAAGGAAGAGCTGAAGGAGAAGTTTGAGGGTCTATGCAAGGTGATCAAGGACATCCTCGGTGACAAGGTGGAGAAGGTTGTTGTCTCTGACCGTGTGGTTGACTCTCCATGCTGTTTGGTCACCGGGGAGTACGGCTGGACTGCCAACATGGAGAGGATCATGAAGGCCCAAGCTCTGAGGGACGCCAGCATGGCAGGCTACATGTCTTCCAAGAAGACAATGGAGGTGAACCCCGAGAACCCCATCATGGAGGAGCTGAGGAAGAGGGCCGATGCCGACAAGAATGACAAGTCAGTCAAGGACCTCGTGCTCTTGCTGTTTGAGACTGCTCTCTTGACCTCTGGGTTCACCCTGGAAGAGCCCAACACCTTTGCCAACCGGATTCACAGGATGTTGAAGCTCGGCCTGAGCATTGATGAAGATGATGAAGCCGCGGGTGATGATGAGATGCCAGCCCTGGAGGAGACCGATGCCGATGCTGAGGGCAGCAAGATGGAGGAAGTTGATTAAGTTTGCCACCCCGATGCCCGTTTTTCTGTATTGCTCTATTTTTTCTCTTTTTGAAGTAGTGTCTTCCCCGTTCCCATTCTCTTCTCTCTCCCCTAGTTGAGTTTTTGGTTTTTTTATCATCAGACTTCGTTTTGTGACATTTTGATTGATATCTTCCAAGTTCCTGTTATTTTCCCATCGTTGGTGTCAAACTCTTTTATGTCATACTACATGATTTTTGCAATCGGAAGGGTGTTTATTTAAGAAAGTGAGATGTTTGTATTTTGTGACTGAAGTATTTGTGACTCTTTCTCATTTAAGAATCTTCAGAATCTTCAAAGGCTGAACTCTACATGATTTTCTTAATTGAAACATTACTCCAAATTGTTTTCCTAAAAAAAATAAAAGAAAAGAACACATGCTTTATCTTTTTACCAATTATGATGGAAACATTTTTGCCTCTTTTCTAATCATAATTCATTTGCCCAAACTCTTTTAAGTTGCTAAGGAATTTTTGTGAGTAGTTAGTGTATTCCAATAGTACAAATTTTCGATGAGAAAGGAATGAGTAAAAACTGAAGAGATGGCGAGAAGAAAAAATGGGGACTTTTTTTCTCTCATTGTATGGTTAAGGTCATTTGCACAAAAATGTGATAAATTAAAGACATTTTGCCCTTACTATTATTTAAACTACCTGATTGTTTGAAAAATAATAAATTGTCATGATACATTTTATTTTAAATAAGAGTATATACATTTTGTTTTTTAGTTTTTCCAAGTGACAATATACTATTTGATACTTGTTCTCTTCAATGAGCCTATCTTCTCAATTTTCTACTGCAAACAAACAAGCAAAGAAGTCTTGGGACTTTGTTCTCTTCCCCATGCTTTTCTTTCTCTCCATCTTTCACCCCATACAAGCACCAGCTAAGGCAGGAGAAAGGGAAAATATGAACTCTTATTCGTGTACATTAGCTATAAACCATTGCAAAAGAAATCAAACACGAATACATATTTCCCAGAGCAGTTGTGCACTTTATTCTCACCACTCAACCAAACAAATACATCACAAATGAATTGCTCACACTATATTTACACAAACCAAGATCACAAGTACCATCTGCTCGCATTTACACAGCAAAAAAAAAAATTGGACGAAAGAAGATGGGCAAGAACTATAAATACGCTTAAAGTGTGTCTTAGCCAATAAAAAAAATCAAATGGCAGCTCTGCACTTCTCATCCAACATAACTCGTAAAAATAATTTTTGAGAGGCTCTAAGAATCCTTGCTCTTTTGTCCCTCCAAAACAAATTCTGCATATAGATCCTTAATGCCTATGACAACCGTGGTAATAAGTGGCCCCATTATGGCTCCCTGCACGAAACATTCATGTATAAGCATCCATCAAATGACCAACACACATTGCAAACTTTTGTTTGGACAAATGAAACTAGTTATGCTATGATAATGTTTCCTAAGTAGCGGTAATGTTTGGGCACAATCACTCCTAGACTTTACTTTTCGTCGGCTTCTAATGGGTTTGTAATTGTTGTAACATAATTGGAATAGTACATAGAATAGGAAATTGATGGCAAAAAAGTTAATGTTGATTTTCTAGTGTTTGATCTGCCCTTGGGGAAATGACCATCTACACCTTTGATTGGTTCAAAAGAGGGGAGGGGAAGTGAGGGAACAGAAGGAAATGAAGGGACCAATGAGTTTGAAGGATTTTGTAACTCCATAACATGTTTCGCGACAAAACAAAAAATAAAACCTTTAACTCAACTTTCCAAAAAATAAAACCTTTAGCTCAAGGAGATGAATTGTCCAAGTTAAGGAGGCAATATAGTGTGTCGAAATTTCAAGGTCAAGACAAGAGACAAGATTGAACACCCCTTTGTTAAAAAAAGATAGTGTTTAGTATGAATATGAGCATTTGGAGTGTGTTCAACAACAAACCCAGTAAGATCACACATAAAGTAGGGTTTGGGGAGATGATTTCAAACACAATTGTTTTCTAAAAGACAAAAAATGTACCTCAATTGCCGAGGGGAACAATGTCATTCCCCCAATAATGCTAAGACCAGTGAGATATGCTGAATGTCCAGGAACATCCTCTTGAATCTCAGAAGCACCGAAATCCATTATCACAAGATGAATGGTGGATATGCTGATCGCCAAGACATATCTCCCTTCCAAGACAAGCTGTAACGCGGCTGGAATTGTCGATATCCATGAGGGCAGAAGTGGAAACAACGAACTGATGAACGCGAGCAGAGTTGACATATACAAGAAGTGTATCGAAAACAGCCTAAAAAGGAGCCAAGTCAAAACCCCCTGAAAGAAAGCAATCTCAACAGTCGCCAAAAGAACCCCTGAAATGGCCTTGTCAAGAACCTCCACACACCGAGTCCTTGCAGAGTGTGAGATGGGGAGCATATTCATGACCTGCTCCGTCACTCCACCTGACTCTGAAGTTATAAGATAATGCAGAACCCAAAAGAAAACCATCGACTGAGACACAAAGTTGAAAAGCCCCGCGGCTCCTGAAACTATGGAGTTCCCAATGACGAAAACGACCTTGACACTCCCCCCTACAACAGATTTACTGCTCATCAACACGCTTTGCATGACATTCACTCCTTGAAGGGCAAACCCTTTCGCCTTCTCCACCAAGTCTTCTCGGGTTATCAACACTTCCCTGAAAATAGCATGCACTTCTGTGTACATCTGTCCCCATTCCCTTTCCTTGATCCTCCTTTTCAGGCTCAACATGTTCTCAGTATACCGCGAAGGAGGAGCTAAAACAGTGGACCGTTCTGAAGAGTTGTTGGAGGACGATGCTGTTACAAAATGTTTGATCCCAGAAACAAACTCAGTCATGTTGTACTGACTCGCGTAGCTGTCGATCTGATCAGAAACAGTCTCATATAACTGGGTGGTGTACTTATCAACCATCCCAGTCACGTCGTTTTCTTCCATCCATTTCCTAACTCCGATTCTCTCAGCGTAATTGTTCTCCTCCACATGTGATTTGAGGCGAAAGACGGCATCTTTTCCTTCGACTCCAATCTTATAGGAAAAGAATATGGCACCAGACAAGGATCCGACACTAAGGCCAACAATCAATCCAATTGCCACAATGGTCTTGAGCCTTTTTAGAATCCCACCAGTGAAGAAAGAAGTAATGGGCAAACGGCGAAAGCTTTGGCTTCTAAGATTAGTGACTGCATTCATGGTGGAATCCACACCAGAAGATGAAAACATGAACCCTAATGTGAGAAGTGCTACCGAACCCACGGCTCCGATCAGTTCATAAGCCATCACAAACACCCAGAAAGAGACCAGTAACCTCAGCAACCTGAAGAACCCACTTCTACGGCGCCTAATGGGACCGAGTGTATCTTTTCTACGAACAATTCCAAGGAATTTCTCCTTGATATCAACAAGGGTTCCGACGAAAACCCTGAAAATAGCCACGGGGATGGCCAAGATGGTCTCAGTGAGTCCAAGCTTGAGAGGCTCAGACCAAAAGGAAACGAGGGTCTGTTGGATCCCCCTCAATGGGATCGAACAGAGGACGGCCCAGAGGAGGGGCCTCAGATATTCCTCGAGCAATTTACAAATTCCGTAAAGAGTGAAAATCATGAGGGCTAATCCAGCGTGAGCCATGGCTATGTAGATGGCGAGGCGTACCTGTGGGTCCCAGGAGCTGTCACCGTCTCCGGCGGTGGAGGGAGGCTTCGGTTTCGGCTTCGGCGGCGGTAACGGATTCTGAGGTGATGGGTCGGGTTTTCTCATGGACGCGGACCGGAACATGTCCTGCCACGCCGGAGAAGCATTGGGGTCGGATTCGGATTCTTTCCCGTCCGAATACGGCACCAGCTCCATTGGCGCTTCCTTTCTCGAAGGACGCGAAGAAGAAAAAAATGGCGTCTTTCTCTGGATCGTTGGGGAAGATGATGGTCCGAACCGGGCAGGACTTGGGGGAGTTTTTCGACCGGCCGGTTTAATCACAGGTGGCAATGGCATCTCTCGCCCCGCTCATGTCCCATCGCATATGTGTCCTTTTTGCTCCGTCCCTAACTAGTTTTGGAATAATGCTAGAGTCATAAACAATTAGGACACAAACTACACAAACTTATCATTTGTGCACTTTTTCAAGTGAATAAAATGATTTTAAGAAATTAAAAATAAAATTTTAAATGCACAAATGACGAGTTTGTGTAGTTTGTGTCCCAATTGTTTGTGACTCTAGCATTATTATTTGTTTTGACTTTTTTCATTCAAAAATGATAAATTTTGACCCCAGATTAAACAAAAATAATACTCTCTCCGCCTCAGTGTATTTATCCAGTTTGACTTTTTTGAGTCAAACTGGACAAACTTTGAGCTTCAATTAAATAAAAATCGTAATGTATTTTAATATAAAAATAACTTTATTGGATTTATAGTATTGAGAACTTTTAAAATTGTATTTCATTATGCTAATATGCAATATAAACTGAGAGTTATTGGAGTTCAAAGTTTGTCTAGTTTGACTCAAAAAAGTCAAACTGGACGAATACACCGGGACGGAGGTATTATTAGATATTGATAAAAAATAGTTTTATTATATTTACTATATCAAATATTCTCAAAATATTATTCTATCTAATTAATATACAATATATATTTCATTTAATTATTGGTCAAAGATTGAAAATGGTTGACCGAAAAAAGTCAAAATTAGACAAAGACTTAGGGACGGAGATAGTAAATAATATCTCAATCATATTTGAAGATTTTGATATCATATTTAAAACACAACGATTCGTTTAGACTCAAGCTAAAGTGACTTTAGATAAATTGAGTCCTCTACGATGCGTAAAATTAATAGTTTCTATTCCCTAAATCCCTTGTTACCTAAGCTAAATCATCGATCTAGACAGGATGCAGGGGTGGGGTGCAAGGGGGCAGAGAAGGTGCTTGGGTGAGGTGCAGCCGTGCAAGGGGCAAGGGTTAGGGGGTAAGATCGTAAGAACCATTAATTTACCAACGAAGTGCCGTAAGAGTCCCAAAATGTTAATGTAATTTAAGATCAAATTAAGCTCGAGTCAGAATATCATTGCCATATTAAAAAATTAATTCAATTAAAAAATTATTGTTATAGTTGTAATTCTAGAAAAAAAAATTTACTCCTATTTTGTGAGACATATGTAATGAAGACAAAGATGAATGGCAGTTATAGAAAATAGAAATGATAATCAAGAACAGTTAATTGCGACACATTATTTCTTTGAAGTATTAATTAATGCATAAATGTAGTTGAACGCATCCATTGAAATGCATGTCATCAAGAGCATCCACTTAACTTCAATGTTAAATAAACAGCTGATTAATCAATACTTTTATACTCCGTATTTATATTTTTTTCAAATTATTCCTTCAATGACCCGACCGACTAACTATTCCCTTCAATATTTTTTAGGTTTTACTTACAAAAAAAAGTTATGCATGTTTATGGATTATATTATCCATCCACCCAAATACTTTAATTTAGACTCGGTAAAATATTTTTTGGGCTCAAACTTGATCTCTTAGTAATAATAGTAAAAATAATACTGCATGACAAAGAATAATAATAATATGGTAATAATAAACGCATTCATATTTCAATTCTAATCAGAAAACAGACAATTACGAAGTATAAGTATATTTAATGAAATGAACATTTACTTTTAAATAAAAATAATAACAATTTCATACTCAAAAAAAGAAAAATAAACATTGCATATTAGTCATTACTTTGATAAGTGCAATCGTCATAATTGTCAAATAGTATATCAAAACATTTATATATTAAAACATTATTTCATTTAAAACATTTTATAAAACCGAATTTGATTGTGGGCAGGCTAATCCAAAGCTTTTTGGGTACCTATGAGGATTGAGTTTAGGATTTGATTGTTAGGGCCGTTACGTAAGTTAGGTCAAACATGAACTTATAAAGTTCTGACCATATAATATTTTGATGTGATTTGAATTCTGATAAAACAATCGCACCTTGATCAAGTCTACGTCTAATCGTCTAAGAGGGTAACCATTAACAAAGCCACTACTCATTGGCATTGCTATAGTGCTATATGTAATTATGTATGTTCGAGTACAAGTTGTCTTTCAAATATGATGTGTGAATTTTGAAACACTACACCAAACTACAAAAGGAAAGATAAAAATGGGTTGGTCCTCCTAGCCTTTTAAGGGTTGGAGACATAAAAAAGGAGAGTACAATATAAGCCAACCCATACATGTTTTCACGGAAAAAGAATACTATCCGAACTTTGAGCTCAATTTAAAAAAAAATTGTAATGTACGGTGTATATTATTATAAAATGATTTTATTATATTTATCTTGTTGAAAATTTTCAAAATTTTATTTTATCGTACAAATATGCAATACAAATTGAGATTAACTAAAGCTCAAAATTGGTCTAATTTAATTCGAAAAAGTTAAACTGAATCAATATACCGAGATAGATGTAGTATTAATTAATAAGTTTAATCAAAGTTATATATAAATTAGTTAATTAATACTCCGTAGTAGGTAAACAATCACAAAAATAAATCGAATATATACATATATAAAAACCACATAAAGAGTTTTAAGAGAGGTGACATACTCCGTAATTAAATATATTATTTTTATTAAATGATTAATAAAAACAGAAAAATAAAGATGATATAATTTGACCATGGCGTTGTTTGGAATTATCATTTTTGATTAGCGTTAGCGTTTTGGATAAAATTTAGTTTTTTTGAGACGGAGTGTATATTGTGAAAGTTATTATCCCCACAAGCAGTGTCCTACTAAGTTTGAAACCGACTTTTTTCATTTAAAAAAAAACAGATTTTTAAGATCCGTGAAACCGGAGTATTAGGAAAAAAACAACAGTTTGACATGTTCTGGGACACTAAAAATCTAATGCTAATAGTACTCTGTAACAATTAATACTCCGTATAACATAAACATATTCATACTAAAATACAAATCTTAAACTCCACTTAAAGTACGTACAGCATCAACATCTACCCTGGGTTTATTCATTATTGACTGTCGTTTTCCTTCATCATAATCAAACCTGCAATTTTAATCCATCAAGAACAAGAAATCAAAGAAGAAGAAGAAGAAATTGAAGAAGAAGAAGAAGAAGAAGATATGATACTGGTGAAAGCCATTATGGGTTTCTTTCATTCTCTGTTTGGAAGGGATTGCAGAAGAAGGCTTAGCTTCAAGCGCAAACAGAGTGATGCCGGAGAAGCAGGTTTTTTGGTTTCCCATCTATTTTTCTCAATCCTTATTTCACATTATTATTATTATTATTGTTATTGTTATTATTATTATTAAAATAATAATAATAATAATAAGAGGAAGAAGAAGAAGAAGATATATCATTATTATGATCACCAATTCATCATCATAATCATCTTCACAAATCTATGAGTTTCTTGAGAATGGTGATTATGATGTATGATGTGAAATTACAATCCAGCCCTTATGTGTTGACATCATATTGGTGTTCTTTGGTTGGATTGGATATGTACGAACAGGGCGAGCATTGGAAGAGCTTAGGAGTTCTATACACAACGAGCTCCGGACATCAGAGGGAGCCAGGCGACAACAGCAGCGATTTTGCGGGCCATTGGTGGCAATGACATTCAATTTCATGGTTGCTGTTGGAATAATCCTCGGAAACAAGCTTGTATGTGACTCGATCTGCCATGTTTCTTCCCTGATAACAAAAAACATTGTCTGTTTTCCCAGTCTGATGAAGATGCTTATTGTCTCTTCGATTCATTTGCAGGTTATGGGTAAAGTTGGATTCAATTTCCCAATCTTTCTCACTTTAATCCATTACACATGTGCTTGGATTCTTCTTGCCATTTTCAAGGCATTGTCCATTCTTCCCGTCGCTCCTCCATCCAAATCCACGCCTTTCTCTTCGCTGTTTGGCTTGGGGGCGGTCATGGCTTTCGCATCTGGCCTTGCTAACACCAGTCTGAAACATAACAGGTCTCATCTCTTTCTCTGGATCTACTTAAGCACTAACAATGGCACTTTAACATCAAGGATGACACCACCAAAAACAATTTCGTGTCATCCGTGGTGTGACTATAGCATAACCCACATTAGCACTGGCCATGTTTTTCTTTTCTGGAATACTCAGCTCAAATGTAAATGTGCAGTGTAGGTTTCTATCAAATGGCTAAGATTGCTGTCACTCCAACAATTGTCATTGCTGAGTTCATCCTTTTCAGGAAGAAAATATCATTCTGTAAAGTGAGTACAGCTTGCAAGGACATCGTCTTTAAGTTATTCATTTTCTCCACTCTGAACATAAGGTTTTCACCTACTCTTTTGCATATGACAACAAATGACATATTTCAAATTTAATGTAAGCAGGTTTTGGCTCTTTTGGTGGTCTCGGTAGGGGTGGCAGTTGCTACCGTAACAGATTTGGAGTTCAATATCTTCGGCGCTTGCATTGCAACAGCTTGGATAATCCCTAGCGCCATAAACAAAATTCTATGGTCTAATCTCCAACAACAAAAGAATTGGACAGCCCTCGCGTAAGAAACATGTACATATATGTGTCATTCATCATTCTATATCTATATACCTTAGCAATAAGATGACAGACTGAGAAGAGATGAATTGCTGGTGCAGGTTGATGTGGAAAACCACACCTATCACAGTCTTTTTCTTGCTGGCTCTTATGCCATGGCTGGACCCACTGGGAGCATTATCGTTCAAGTGGAATCCCCATAACATCGCCGCCATTCTTGGATCCGCCTGCCTTGGTTTTCTCTTGCAATGGTCTGGTGCCTTGGCGCTCGGGTGAGACTTTTTTTTATTTAACCTAAGATATATGTCTTCTACTTGTGCTCAAATCATTTTATACCTAAATAGAAGTTAATGTTGACAATGACATACATAGCTCTGCCACCAACCACCGGTTGCCGCCTGATAAAGAGACAATGTGTGTCATTTACACATTGCACCACATGTCATCAACATTGAGAATTCATTGTGACAT